GAGGAAAATCTATTAGTATTTTAAAATGGGACACCCTGTATAGCATTAACGAAGAAATCAAAATTTTATATCAAACACAGGTACAAGTTACAACGGCAATATTAAAAAGGTAATGGCCGCAATGGTATTATATGCATCGACGTTTGATTTGTACGAGACGTTCAAGTATTTACGAAGTGTGAGGAAATTATGTCCGAGAAACGTGAAACGGGTTTGCACTCGATAAAATGTATGTTAATATGTCACCGTCTTAGGAGGGTATATTATTTACAAGGTCTTTGGATCGTTATAGGCGATTAGAACTAGTCGGAAAGAACAGCGTTAAGTTTAAACAGTTACCATTAAGTAGTAATATTTCATCAGTTTTTTTTTTAAGAAAACTAGTACCTAAACCTAACCAATAAAACTTTTGCTATAATGTATGAAATAATTTTTATTCATTTTAATAGTAATTAAGACTGTAATATAAAGTTACATTGTAATTTTAAAAATTAAACACAGTCAAAACCACATCAGTACCTTGAGTATGAATTACAAACGATTTTCGTTAAACCTTAGACAATACACATTTTTGTAGAGTAACAGTGTCTTGAGTAAATGAATATCGAATATTGTTAAGCAATTGCTTGGCAAATCATTGACGAGTTTTCATTTGACAAATTTAAAAGAAAAATACTCTAAGCAAACATGATTTGTCTTCAAACTACATTTTTAAAAGCGGCTATACCTACTTATATAACTCAACCAGATATTCACCGCTAAGTAGTCGGTCACGATTTTAGAATACCGTGAAGCGCAATGTTACTGTCAACAGTCAACACACCACCACCACCGCACAAAGACGCATTAATATTCCATGTCGAATACACACCTATCTGTACAGATTATAGGCAGAGCCGAAGCGGTCAAATTATCCAGTAGAGTCCTCTGAGATGGTATATTCTAGACCTTGGATGTTCATAATATTATCGGCATAAATGCAATTTGGTTACCGCGAAAACATGAGTACTTACCGCCTGAATCGCAATACGGTTAGCGTGTAGATTTACAGTGACTATTGTCTATTGAAATAGTCAATACCTTCTGTGAATAATAAAACAAAACTTGTGCTACAGCAATATTCGAATCGTTTTGATCCAAAAATCGTATGCCATTTCATTTTTTTTTATAGACAAGTCGGCACAGCTAAGAGACCGTGTCAAAGATCAAAATGCATTATTATAATATTTACAAGCGTGCACAACAAACTACGTACAGCTGCAAAATCACACACTACAGTCATACTTAAATGCAAGTCATTCGACTCACGTGTATAGTAATGCGGCCGCGGGTATAAATCACACAAATTGACTTTTATATTATAAAATATTAACCGAGCGTGCATTACTTTAGTCGATAACCTTTTCGCATTTGTTTTGTAGCTATTTTCATTTCCTAGCACACATTAAACCAACCTCTAGTTTGAAATGGCAAAGGCTAACGTGCAATCGAGAGAGCCGGTAATTGTAAGTTTGAGAATAGGTATAACAGATACGGTGCTATAAACGTTTTTACTCGTCTCGAATCAAATCGACATTGTTTCATTGACAGTATGCTTCATTTATTTATTGCTAAGGTGCTATGAAATAACGGTTTGTACACTGTGCACATCGGATTGGGTTAAAAACCGGGCGCGATTGGGGTTTGCATGCAAATACTTATGTTGTTTGTCTTTTTTGATTCCTCAAAGAGGATGCTACGGTTCATTTAATATATGCATTGCAATCCCTATGGCCTTCTAATATTTCCGGAAATCTGAACTCAGCATAATAAGTTAACAAAGTCGCCTCTCTAGCTCGATAATTGTAAAAGTTATGACTATTTTGCTGTTATCAGTGGAACTTATCTTAACTTTTAGACCCAGATAAAATAAAACATTTTTATTTTATTTTAGTATGACAACCGAAAATCTAAATAATATTGACATTTTTAAAAAGAACAATATCGAGTAAGTCACGTGTCACAATGATTGGGTAGCGGTTTTTTTTATATACTACACAGCTACTGCAAATAAACATTGCAAAACGAGTATACACCGCTGTCGGCGAACAAAACAAATTGCCAGTTTACATATTATTATGTTTGTTTTTCTTGACAGACACACACACACACCTGTTGTTTAAATATTTCGGAACGAGTCAAAACATCTGTTCGACTTACACGAACGGACTGTGAAGTCCTGACGGACGCGAACGGTGTGGCCGAAAGTCGGTATCAAACAGACCACGCGACCTGCGTGGAAAACTGCGCGGAAACCGGCCGGTTTTCCCATTATATTCTTTGGGCAACTCGAAATTGTTTTTCGGAAAAACACACACACACGCACGCGAGTCCTTGTCAGGGTTACGTGGGTTACGCGCGTGTGTGTAGGCACACTGGTTTCAAGTGTAACACACTTGCGAGAACTTCCCGTGCCGGCGGTGGGCGTCTCGTCCGCACATAATTATTATCGTGTACGGCGGCGGTTGAGACGGTTAAGACGGCGGACCGGTGGGCGACAACGATATTGGGCGCATGAACGGAGCGCGGCCGCGGTCGGTTATCGATGCGCATTGGGAAATAAAAAAAAATATATATTAAACGCGACCACGTGGGACGACCGTGTACACACCCAAAATTTCGAAAAATAAAAAAAAAAGCAATAACAAATGGTTAATGGACGAACGAAAACGCGGCTTTCGTTTCGACCGGACGTCCGCCAAAAAAACCGCACAGATGGTCCCCCCCGGAAACCTCACCGCGCGCGATCAGTGTTTATTAAAGTGTATGGTCAGCACCGTCGTCTTAGGCTATGTAAAGGGGCCGCCCTTGGGCACACGGAGTTTGAGGGCCCTAGGCTCGCGTCTCTAGTCCCGTGTAACTTTTAAATCGGCCGTCCTGCACCAATTCTGCTCACATAATATCCCGGTTGTAACACATGGGACTTTTTTTTTTTTTTTAGATTCGACGCCATAGTTTACCGTGTCAGCTGGGGGGCCAACGCGATCTCAATGGGTGATATTATATTCAAGTTTTTTTAAATCGGTACAAACAATCTCTGGACCATGCCAAAAAGCAATACGACGACTCGTGTAAATTTATATATACATACGCGTGTATATTGTATTTTATTTATAATAATAGTAATAATAATTAATAATGTACAAAATATAAATATATAAATTTTAAAAAAATTTCATCGATAATATTAAAAATATGCATAATATATTATATTATCACAGCCTTGATAACAATGGTCTATTTATAAATGTATATTATAATATTGTATGTTATAATACGTCTTTCTAATTCGGACTAGACCAATACGAATATTTTAATTACATTACTTCATCAATATGTTTTATGCATTATAAATAATATATATATATATATATATATATTATTAACTATATAACTATATTATAGTTACAAAAGGCACTTGTTTTTATTGTTGGAAATTTTTTTTATATACGATATAAATCTTTAACAACGATACATGAAAAAATATATAATAATAATAATAAATAAATACATACAGTATGTGTCATTTTTCTTACATTAAAAAAAAAAATTACGTTTTCCCTTTATAAATGTATTTACACAAATAGCATACAGCGAAACGAGAGTGATCAACGCTTTTTAATTACACACAGTCGATCAATATTTAATGTCCTTTCCATTTCTCTCCAATACAATATTGTCGTGTGTCGCAATTCGTTCCCACGACCCGAGTGCCTGCCTGGAGCGTCGCGGCCGCCGCTTACTGAAACCCAGGCACGTATGCGATATTATACCCGGTAACGGCGACGGCGGCGGCGGTCCGGTTTACGTTTCTCATGGGAAAAACGGGATCGAATGATCGACGGAAATTTCCTCTACCGGAAAGAAAACGTCGGCAATCTGTTGGCGGCGCAGGCCAAGCCCGCGGATCCGAGTGCAACGCACATAGCCGCCTACGCGCCCCCGGCAGGCCCACGCGGGCGCCTCTGACAGTTTTACAATAATAATAATAATTGGCCAATCGGTGTGACCCTCCTTCTCCCCATCCTCGGGGTCCTCTACAAGTGCAACGTTTTCCTTCCGGGCACGTGACGTCGCTTACGGACTTCAAAAAACGGACCCGCAAATTTTCTACTTGTAAAAAAAATATGAAAAAGGTGAATGCGTACAAAACTCTTTTGGTAGAGTAATCGGCTGCAAACGCGATTCGAAATCCGTTGTAATAACAAAAAAAATAAATGGGAATTTTAATTTTAATGGGAAGTCGTAATCTGTATGATAACCGGTGTAAGACGTGTAAATTAAAAAACAGACATTTTTTCATGTCATCTTTACGAACCAAGAATAATTGATAAATCCAACGAGCAGGCCATATCACGGAGTGCGCACCAACTCCGGAAGTAATGACATGTAGTGATTGTATTAAAGCTTAAGCTACAACACAGCAAAAAAATAAATACAAAACACGAAGCGAAAACACACAAATAGCAGCAAGTATATATATATAAATATATTATTTTAACAGCAACTGACAAAATACTTAAAAACGTAAAAGTGGACAAATAGGAGTTTGTCTACATTGTAGACATTAAATAATATTCAATCAAACTATACTCATTGACGGGGCAACAGCAGCGAGTGTTCACTTTTTGGTAGTTAAATTTTACTCGTAAGAGTACAGACATTTTGTATTCAGTCTATTAATTTAAAACTTATATAAAGCATGCCGTGCCGTCGTCAATGGAGGGTTCGACCAAACATTACCGTTGATTGTGTGAATGGGAAGCCATGTGAGGATACTGGTGTAATGGCAGTGGGGACGTGCACTGTTGCTGATAGTTTGCCGTGTGCATCAGCGGACTGGGACTAGATGAGGGTATGAGATGAGCAGGCGGGGACATTGCCATTATGTGTTGGGGATGGTGTTGCTGGTGGTGCGGATGATGGACGGGACTCTGTTGGCCGTACACAAACTGCCTTACTTTGGAATCGTGGTCGTCCCCTATGTTGTATGATAAATCTGTCTCTTCGAAACCGGTAGCTGACATGCGTTGATCGCCAGAATTGGCACCTGACGAAGACGGACACGGGTCCGGTGAATTCAAACATGTCTGGATCAGTGCCTTGCCCGCTTCAGACGTAATCATGGGCTGTAACTTTCTAGTGGCAAATGTGTATACGTGACCCGTTTCAGAGGCCACTAACAACATTACTTGTGTACCCGTTAGCGTGGACAGTTCATATGCCTAAAACCACAACATAAAAAAAAAAAAAAATTAATTTTCATACTCAAGTATATAGTCTAATTTCTTTTTGATCTTTCAGCCATTATAAGTAAGCAACAAATTTAAAGTTAAAAAACAAATTTATAAAAATCAAATTAAAAACGTAAAATGGATGCCTACAAAAATTTTGTGACGTTAAGGCAGAAGTGAAAAGACTTAATTTGACATATTTACTTTTTCCCAAACAAGTAAAAATGATTTGCAATTAATCTCAATTACAGCCATGAATAGGCTAGATTTAAGAATTTAAATTTTAAGTACTACATTATAACTAGTTTTAAATTAACTAATTTTTAAAAAAGTAAATTTTTTCTTAATAATATAAGTTTGACACTACTTAAAAATCATAAATTAATATGCCACGACCTTTTCCCCAATCATCACAAAATTAAATTATTTTAAGTACCTACCTAATAATAATTATTTTTAAAATTGTAAGGAACTTGACTACTAAAATGTTGTATTGTAACAGATTACTAAAATTATTTAAAATATACAATAATTGTTAGTAAAAGTAGAATTTTCATTCTAAATTCAAGTAGTAATTGTTTTTGTAACTATGTAATTAAAATAATATTAGCTGCCTTCACTCAAATGTGAGAAGGATTTATTAAAAAATTTAGGATTGTTATTTAAGTATAAATAGCAATACAATTGAAAATACTTTAACTATTTAAGTGTGAATAAATAAATAAAGTATATTAATTGAAAAATAAGTTATAAAAAGATTGTGAGTTCATAAAAACGTTATAAAAAATAACATAATTAATAAAACAAATTATATAATTGTTAAACATGTTTTTTTAATTTATGGTCACCAATAATTTTCTAGGGTTGTTATAGATTATACTAGTTTAACCAAATTAAACATTTTACAATAATTAAACTATACATTTTTTTGTTTATTAAAAATATATTAAAAGAATATATTTTATTAATATTTTTTTTAGTAAATATTAGTATAAATTACTAGTACCTGTCTAATAACCGTATGTCTAAACCCCTATCAAAATTGCAATTTCATTTGCTGTTATAAAGAGTCACATATTTTTTTAAATAGTAAATACTTATACTTTTATCTATTTAAAATACTTTGACCATTTGATAATTAAAAGTTATTTGAACTAAAACAACAATAGAAACATATTTTTATTTTCTATTCTAAGGGATTGTAAATATACAAGTCTATTAGCTAAATAATAATTATTTCAGTTAAAAAAAATGTGAAAATAGACTACACGACTATTTTAACTTGAGTATTAGTAAAAATAAATAGATAACCTATTATTCAATGATATTTTCAAGGAAATAAGTTTACTCGACTCCTAATGTCATTTAAAATATTATGTGAATATAAATGTCACTACGCAATTGAAAATAAAAAAGGTGTATATTTAAACACACGTACATTACCAACCTAATACTCTATGTGCAAAAATGTAAATTTAATAATTTTTAGGTATAAAAGAAATATATATAAAATACGTAGAGTAAAACTTACTTTTTTCATAATTCCAGTCTTCCTCTTCGAGAATGTAGTGTACCTTCGGAGCTTGTTTTCAATGTATTCCATTTTAATTTTCACTCGGCCCTTAGTCTTCTTACCGTTTGACGGTGACACATCTTTAACGGCAGGCGGAGAAAAATTGTCTTCGACCAATCGATGGTGATCAGTGGGTTCGTAGCACATATTGTTGCCGGGTCCAAGGGTGCGCTTGAGGCCGCGTTGATGCACACCGCCCGCGTTGCCGGGACCGCAGCCCATCATGGGTGGCGTCCGTGATGTAGACGGACGTTGCTGGGTCCCTCCGCCGTTGTTGTACATGTCCGACGGATCCAACAGCGACATGTTCGACGCGTAACCCATGCCGAATCTATTGTCGCGGCCGCCACCGCCAGACGCACTGTCCATCGCTGTCCACCTCATGCACTTGACCGCCTGTAACTGGTCATCCGCACTACACACACGCGCGTAAACTTTAGTTACTGCACGACGGAACGCACCCGGGCAATCTTGGACGTTTCAAGTAGTTAAAACTTAAGGAAAAATTACAAAAACAATCGTCACTGATAACAACGGCCGCGAAACTGATAACGGGCGAACACGGTTGTCGGCGAGGGCGCTGTCGCTGTTAGCACTGCAGTGAAGATACGAACGATTATTGTTTTCTGCCTTGCCGCCGAGTAATTCGACCTGAGACCGTATAATAATAGATCTCCTCGGCGCATGTGCCGCTCGTTTTTCTATTTTTAAAATAATTTAAAGCCAGACAGATGAAAATTTGTTCTCCATTTTATTCTACCATAGACGCTGAACGCACTTGAATAATTAAAGTTTTTCCAACGGCCACACGCGATACCGGTATTAAAAAAATATCCAAATTAATAACGGAACAGTAAAACACAGACACACGCTTACAACAATAATATTGTTGTAATATATTAATGTAAAATCGGCGTCGCGTTCAGAGAGAAACCACTTTTGAAAAATATTATAAAAATATTATTATTACGTTATTATATGACATAAACGGTAGTTGGACGTAACATATGGGACGCGGCGCGAAGGCGGTTGTTCGATTCTCTGGCCGAGTATATATTATCGTCGTCCGTTAGCGGGGCTGCTGCACATGTGATATGTCCATGTGGAGACGACGGAATGGGAAGTGCACTGCACACCGGCTGGTGTGGTGGCCGGCCGCCGCGTTCGCGTGTGTTGGCGGCAGCGGCCAGTCCCTCTCCCGGACGGCGCACGACCTCCCCCGCCGCCGCTTGCCATATTTAGAAGAGTTGCTCGAGCCAAATTAGGCAAACTTGACCATATACGGCGCGGCGTGGTACCTCCCCAACCGCGCTAAGATCCACCTTCCGGCGAATAATGCGCTTCCTATTGCCATTCGCCATATTCTTTTACTCTAGTCGTCACACGTAACATGAACGTAGATACCTGGTTAGGTACACCTATTTGTAATTATTATTGTTGTCGATGTGAGAAAATTCGCAAACCTCTTTCCCCAGCGATCCCCAAAGGCCATCGGTACGTTTCATTATAAAACATACTTATATTTAATAACAATAACGCCAAACACAAGTTTTAACACCTGCGACGATGTGTGGGTTTTCATCGTACACGCCAGAGATCAAAGAGATGTTTCGAATTGCCAAACATTATAATTTACCAAAGCCCGAAAAGTTACGAAAGACGTACAGCTATTTTGTACATACCTATAGCATAATAATATAGGTGTTTATAGCAAGTATATTCATACTTACACGTGAAATGAATGTGACAAAATGTAATGTCTAAACATTATTAATAATCATAATTGTTTTCTATTTTTCAGTAATTATTCAGTTGGAACTCGGTTGATTTATTGGTGTTGCGACAATTCGAAACACGCCAACGTAAAATTGTTCAACGCGCAAAATTTTAAGTTCTAGACAAATTTAGCGTGACTGTCACCAACGTTTGCGCTTAAACACATCAATTAGCAACATTCAAGGGACCTAATATTAGTATCATCGTCTTACGTGGTAAATTAGCGAAACAGAATCATTTTCGACTTAAATCATAAATGTTAGCAAATTGTTAATTTCTAGATTATTAAAAATGCAGAAGTCAGCACAATATTCGTTTTTAGTGCACCGTTTTAATGTCAAAATCCAAGACAATACCATTAACCATTTTCCCCAGAAGGACTGAAAACGTTTTCTACATTTGCCTTTTTTTTAGCGTATTTTTTGATAATTAAGCCTTAAGGTAAATTTAGTGCATACCTACCTATTAAATAGGTATATTGAAATTCCGTTATTTTTATTTGGTAAATCCAAAATATTTTTTCAACTTCGGTTTCAAGTTAAAACATTATTAAAACAATTATAAACAAAATGTCGACTTTATATCTGGCAAGGGAAGCTGGGAATATAGTAAAAATAATATTAATTGGTACCTAGCTAGTATTGCTTGTATATCTGACAAATTTAATAAATTTAAAAGGCGAATTAATTTGTTTTATTCTTGTTATTCTTCTTATGAGTCAATAATTAGGTACACAGTCCACTTTTAGTGTAAACTGATAACGTTAACGATTTGTAAATGTGTCAGCTAGTTATAATTATAATGAGTAAACTTACTTAAATTTTAATATAATATCTGAATATTCGTTGTTATATTTTTAGTACCAAATAGCAACAACGTGCGATTAAACGCTTATATTATTATAGTAATTTTATATGAAACATGTAGCTAAAACCACATTGACTAAAAGCTAGGAACCTCCCTATAGGGGAAAAAATACATAGTTGGATCAACTAGTCTAATGTTAAAGTACCTTTATGTCACGATTTCTGACTTGTTACTTGAAGAAATCGGTTCGGATGGTTTAGGAGATACCGTGGGTTGAGACAAAAATAAAAAATATCAGTGTAAAAATATAGTTTTCTCATCAGCTCCGCATCAAAGCTAAAACTCAACTTCAACTATGACCAATAATTTAGAAAAATAGTGAATTTATTTTAACGCTTTTACGTTAAACATAACTTTAGTTGTAATTATTACAACTCACAATACCTGTTCTTATAATTTATAGAATGTATATATTATATAAACATACACGAATCATTTATTATGAGTAGGTGTTAACTATTAATCATGAACCATTATTATTGATATAATCTAACTCAGGGGCGGATCCAGGAATGAAAAGGGGGGGGGGGCTAGAAAAAACACTTCAAATACAAATAAACAATAATTATTATATATATTATAAAAAAAATTAAAATACACTTTTAATGCATACAATGTAAGGGAGGTTCTTCAGCCCCCATAGCTCCCCCACCCTTGTATCCGTCCACGATCTAACTGTTTTAACTTTTAGCTGCGTGTTTTATCTTTTTCGTTCTATCGGTCATTCGGTTAATCTATGATAACTAACGTCTAACTATACCTATAGGTTTGCATTAAAATGTACATTTTAAGGTGTTAAAATGTAGATAAGAGCATGTTCATACCTTTCTTCCCACAGTGAAATAGGTGAGTTTTACCCCGGTAATTACAAAATTACTCAGCTAAGCGAGGTGGTGTCTTTGACTCGTTTGGGAAGTTTAGACCCTCCATAATGTTCAAAGGAAAAACCCCTTCAGTCAAAAGATTGGGGCACTACGCTAATTTTACTACTGACATTTTTGGATGCTATAACAGTCGGAGAGAATCCCTATTTGTTTTAATAAACGGTATAAATTTAAATGTATATTGACAAAATTATGTATAAACTAAAACAAAAGAACACATTTCCTTTTTTCTAAAAAGATAATCGCTTATAGCGTGTGGCTGTAACATTAAAATTTGAATTGTAAGAAAACGTAATCAATTTTCTTAACCGAAAAAGTTGCGTGGGATTTCATATGAACTCGATGAACCATGCCTTGGTGAGATATAATTAAATTTATAAAGCTACATGATCCAATAACTCTGGTCCATCGAGCTCATGTTTATAAATACTTACCAAAAATAGACCTGCGGTTGTAGTCCCAACGCTGGCAACAAATGCATAGTTTTTTTTTTCAAACCGCATTAGAAATAACTTATAATTTTATAGTTGCACGTTTAGGTCTGAAGATATCGTTAATCGTGTAATTGCTACTAATATTATCACTACATCTGTGTTAATTTAATAATTTTCATTAAGTGAGAAAACTATTAGAGTTAGTTAAGAATTAGGATAGTACCTAATTTAAACTTTAAAAAAAACACTTATCTTACACTTAATCTTAAAATAATCTACAATATGACCAGTTTATATAACTTAACTTTAAATTTATGTATGTATGTGGTAACGTGTTTAAAGAGTTTATTTTAGCATAAAAGTAAACATAAAATTCAAGATCAACACTTAATTTTTACATGGATGATTTTCAAAAAAAATATGTTATAGTAAAGTTATAGGAATTTAGAATTTGGACCCCTGATTAATAAGCGATGTAACTACTGGTAAATTAGTGTAGGCCCCACTGGTTATATATTACCAATAAAAGTTATTTAATTATTTAACTTAGCTTTTCAATTAATGGCGATTTACTAAATTTAAAGAATTAAAAAATATACTCTATAATACTTAAACAATTTTAAGACAACAACTTACAAACAAACTCATCTATTGTTTTTAAACAAATCACTCGATATACCCAGTATTTTGTTTAAAAAACATTCAAACCCCTGGAATTTATGGCTTGGTGCCATGACTGATGTTATCTCACGTTTCCCAATCTAGGAACTAAAATAACTTTATATAACCTAGTTTTTTTTAACAATTATAATTCAGCTATACGTTAAGACTAATTAAATAAATAGTTAAAATGTTAAAAAAGTAAATATACCATTGTAAAACATTAATGTTTGGTAGTCCCAGAAAAATATAAATGTGCATCTCTAAAGTTTTCCATATTAATTTTAAATTATTAACTAGTATTCTACTATTATTATATTCATTTTGTAATACTAATTTTAGTATTCCCCATTGATGTTTAAGCATTCTGAAATGTAACATATTTATGTGTTTTAATAGTTGTACTTCACACTAATACCTACTTATAAGTTAAATTACACAATTTTAAATAATTTATGACAACTTAATTTAATTGTGAAAAAACTAGTATGCAATTACTTACTGAACTTATAGACACATCTACAGCTAAATCAACATTAAAAGTTTTGAATATATCTTAAATTTAAAATTTTGATTAATGGATTCAATAGTATAATATTTGAGCATGGATTTTCATGTAACTAGTTAGGTACTAGTATAGTTACTAGTTAGGTTCTTTTCGTGTTAAATCAAGTATTCTTAGTACGTTCAATTAATTTCACGATGGAGTTATTCTAGACTTATCCAGTAGACTGTGGAGTCCACGTGGCAGTGTTTTCTCAGACATATATTATGTCCATAGCTAACGACACAGCAGCTATCCTCTCCTCTAATAGCGATTTTACAAAAGCTGTGTGTAGGCAACCTCAACGAAATTCAAAAAATGGGCAATTAAATAAAATAAATAATAAAACAATATATTCATTAGTATAATTACTTTCCCCGTAGGCCCTGTAACCGTCTATAGTGACGCTTAATAAATGATTACTGTCAAAACTGGAGCTTAAAATACTTGAGCATCTTGATTGGGAAAGAGACCATAACCAAAATTTCAAATTATAAATCACTTGATTATACTTGATTTTTGTGTATTCGTCAAGACGATGAGAGGGACGTTCCTCACGCGTTACTTCCATTCTCGACAGACCTATTTGGTCCAACGGTGTTAAAATCCGGTATGGCTATTGTTTGCAGAAATAATAATAATTATACAGCTCCTGCGCTGTACCTATAACCTAAGTCCGAGTAGGCATCATCGAGGAAAAAAAAATCAAGACCAATTCAAAACACGGCGTGCACACGCACTGAGACGGCTAATTAATAATTTATCATTAATACATTTATTTATATATATATATATATATATATATATATATAGAGAGAGATATATTTTAGCAAATAAAATTCTTTCTCGTACGCATCTGAGACGACAATAAGTCTGCCACTGAAGCGATTATCGAACGCTTATTTATTTATTTATTAAATTGACAATTTTTTTTTAAACATATATATATATATATATAATATATATATTATTTTTTCCCTCGTTCGACATATATGGCGATACCTAGCGACCGACTGTCTGTTGTCGAGCATATTTCGCGCACGTATCCTATGTATGTATGTATGTATATGTATATATATTATATATATATATATATATATATATATAAGAAATAGCACATAGATAGCTACTGCAGTCTGTAAGACTTCACGGAAAAACGCGCGGACCTATAATAAAACACAACAATATTATGTCCGCTGAGTCGCGAACAACCCTTGGACAGCCTTGAGCATGACTTGAATCGCTAATGTATAGTAACGAGTACATAAAAAAAAAAAACCACAAATACAGTATACACACATGTACGCCACTCGGGGACGCGCCATGTGTTTGTGCCGAAGGATAATAATAATTGTGATTGTTTTTTATAAATATATTTAATAGGTCTTGGGAAAAAAGATAACGATAAATCGCTTCCCGAGAGATGGACGCATTCGATATCGCGTTACCTGTGAACCGATGCCCGTTGACTTATGGGCTTCTGGTTGTTTTTCTGGCCGTTAAAAAATATATATATATCTAACTCAGCGCTTGTAGAATAATCACTGGTGTTCGACTAAGATGTGATTTAATTAAAAGCGCATATAAAATATATACTGGTAGTCTTAGAACCGGGATATAATAACATATAAGTATAAGGTCATAACAGTACATAATATAGTAAATCATATTATATATTAATAATATTATACTATATTAATGTATACATTATGTACAATATAGAACAGTACACGAAAAAAAGTAATCACAAAAGTCTAAACTCTATATTACCAGTGTTGGCTGTTGCATCGATGTGCGAACATGTGCAACAGCAGGATCATCGTTAAAGGAAAACCGATTGAATAATAATATATAACTAATGGATGTGTTGATGGTACTTAGGCGACGTCCGGGAAAAAAATCCTAACAGTATATTGACAACTGGACTGAAATCCTGATTCTGATGTACCTATCCGGACATCCGGATGTTCAAATGCGGATTTGAATCATTTTCTTATTATACATATTCGGATTATCTATAATTTTAGATTACGTTTTGACATGGATATAACATATGACGTGTCATTCTGAAAATTAAGTTAAGAGTATCCACACTTCATGTAAATACATCAGTTGCAGGATATATAAAGATATATTAGGATATCAGGATATCTGGATATATAAAGATATAACGATATATATATAATATATATATATAGTCAATTTAATTTGTTAGGTAGGCACCTAACATTATTGAAAAATGTTAAATATTGATAAATGATCCCAATAAAGTAGATTAAGACCAGATATTATAAAACTACTAAAAAACGTTTGGCCAGAACATATTATGATCAAGACTATAGTATTCATCATATATCGCAACATTATAGATCGGAAATAATCGTATAACTATATTTTCAGGACATAAAATCACTTTCGAAAAAACGCTTCGATGCAAATCGGTAGTTAGTATTTTTGAAGCCATATTTATGAAGTTTTGAAGTTTTTTGTGGCTATTGTAAAATTTTAATTTTGTGACTTGTGTCGTTTTTGAAATGACCGATTCAATTGATGTGCTGTATTTACAAATAAGCATCAAAGCGTTAATTTGAAAGTGATTTTATCTGAGAAGTAGAATAAAGGCATAATGGAATCAAAGCAACGAGGCGACGGAGATGTCACAGGTCTACAGGAATTGTTATAAATCAAAGTTATAAAAGTGAATAAAATCACTTTCAAATAAACGCTTTGATGCTTTTTTGTAAATACTCGTTTTTTTCAAATTTTAATCGTGAAGAAGTAAACTTTTTCAAGTACACATTAATCATTATTATATTGTGGGAATTTAGTCCTAATGGAAAATTTATAAAATACAAATAAAGGGCACGGGGGAAGAACGGTAGTAGTCCATTTATGAAAATGTTTTTTTTTCAAATAGTTTTTTTTTTCAATATATGCCATTAATTTTTTTTATTTATATCAATAGATTGTTTAAATAAATGCATTTTTTATTAGAATAGCGCTTTATGTGATTTGTTTTGTTCTTATGTAAGAGAGAGAGAGAGGATGTCACAAACTTTGTTTTTGCTATACTCTAAAATGTTCATAAATGGACTACTACCGTTCTCATAACAAATTTAAAATTCTTAAAAAAACTATTACAGAAAAGGTTTAAAAATTAAACAGAGTGAACATTTTAAAAGAGTAATTGAAAATATTAAATTTGAACGGAATGTTTTAACCATCTAATAAAAAAAAAAACTATACGTTATTTCACATGCCTAGTTATTTTACTTTACCCTTAAACATAACAGTCGCGTTTTTTATTATTTAAACTAGTTTATCCTAGAAGTAACATAGGCACTCTGTAGTTGAAACTTAGTAATTTTGATTATTCTGAAAGTAGTTTTTGTAGATTTTAAATGAAGTGATGAACTTTTTTGTTTTTGTGCTTCATGAAAATTCAATTCAAGTGAAAACATTTAATCGTAAAATAATTAGGTTTTCGCAACTGTCGATCGTGTTGAAATTTGATGGTACATTTCTAATAAACACAAACTAGATCGAGTATAGATAATGTTGTCGCATCGTCCTAGTCTTTGGGCATTTTCTTTAATGATCTAATTATCTTAATTTCATGTAGTAAAGCGTATCAACTATTAATCTACGATAACGTCGTAGAATGTGTCATAGCAGCTAATGTCTCATACAGCGAAGTCGTACACCTATTAAATTCAATTGAGTAAATGATTTTCGCGAGAGACCCTCCCCATAATTTCTTCGTTTCCCACTACGTTTGTATAATCTTATACATTGGTCGTTTCGATTTACCATTCACGCCAATTACAAAATAAGGCTGTCGAATAACGTCTGTATACCTGCCCAAGTTTACCACCCAGTAATTTGTAGCTACCTGTGAAGAGCCTACGGAATAGAGTTACCCGACCTGAAATGATTAATATTTCATTACATTGTGTTGGTACCCTTTTACCATTATATAGCGTCGTACAAGGGCGTGGGATAGGCGTAGGCGATACGAAGGTCAAAGTCAGAACTAGGTACAGAATAGTCAATATTGTTATTGTTATTTTGGTGCTTGAGTAGGATTACTCATAACTTGCAATTAGTAGAAGTCTGCAGCGGCCAGTAGGTCACTAGTGAAGCACTCGATCTATACCCTAATAGGTGTGTATTTGGAAAGCGATAAGCTGTAATACAGTCTACTATAACAACCGACATAACAATTATTATAGATTACTACTTGTGCTAATTCGATTATTAAAAGTGCATTATTGTTATAATTTTAGTACCGCTATTTCCAATTGACAAAAACAAATAGCTCCAACAATGGAGTTTGATTTCCCCATTAATGACGTTGTGACTGAAGAAGTCTTAAAAATTGACCATACTTTGACAGTAATTGGACATGAAGAAAATGCACAGTAAGTACTCGTAGTTTATAGAGTACCTAATCATAGTTATCTATAGCAAGTTTGATAAGTAGTACTCGCATACTTATTATGTCACCATATTTAAAGTATGATTTCTAAATAATATTAGTTTATTTGTATAAAATGAGAGTATCTGAACTATTATCGATAAAAATGTATATGTTAATGTAATAATAATGGCGTTTACTTTTAATCACAGGTTACAGAAAACGGTTGGATTGATAATTGATGGTATGGGCAATGCATCAGCAATAGCTCAGGAGTTAAAATCTCCAATCACTAGTGCAGAAAAGCTTGTCAACTCTGACCACGTAATTTATGTGATGACAGAACATCCGGAAGAAGGGTTGAGACATTTTTTTTCACAAACATAGTTATTATTGATAATTATTTAATTAAATAATTATTTTTTTATTTGTATAGAGGCAAAGTTTTTTTTTTACATATATTAAATTTACATAATTTTTTTGTAATTTTATGTTGGAAAATAGGAGGTTTGCTGTTGTGGGAATATTAAAAATGGGATTAAAAAAGTTGTATCTTTATGACAAAGAAGGTTCCCGTTCTGAGGAAATGGTTTATTGTTTATTAGATTTCTACATACACGAAACAAGACAGCGCAAGGGTTATGGAAAACGTCTTTTTGAATATATGTTAATGGTATAGTTACATGTTTTATTTTTAGAATTATACTGTTATTTATGTAATACAAATTATTAGTAATAGTTAAAATCTATTTAAACAACACTTATACTGAATTATTATTTAGGATACGGATATGGAGGCTAAGCATTTAGCTATCGATAAACCAACTAAAAAACTGTTACAGTTTATGTGGAAGCATTACAGCTTATCTAAATTGGTAAATCAAGGAAACAACTTTGTAATCTTTGAAGAATTTTTCAATGACTCTGGTAACTTTTTTTACATTTATGTATGAATATATATATATATATATATATATATGAATTAAAGTATAAAAGTAATACTATTTTTATTTTATTTTAAGTGGCAGAAAGAAAGAAGAATAGTCATAACAGGTGAGAATTTAACAGTTACATATTTTGAAAGTAAATTTTTTAAATTTACTTAATACTTGAAAAAAGTATGTCAGTAATGTTAATTCTTAAGTATATAAGACTTTAATCTACAAAAATAATAGATAATAATTATTAACATTGCAATGCAATTAAATATAGGTACATTGGTTAAGTAATTTTAATATTTTAAGCAATTGTCTGCAACGGCTGTGTTGAGTAGGACAAGTAAGGTGGTAATAAGCAGCAGCAATATTATTGGTAGCTCAGTCTGCAATTTTAAAATTAATTTCTGAAAGAATTTCGGGGTTAATTATTACGTCTATTAAAACGACAAGAAACGATTAATCAAAAGTAACTCTACGGTTAGAAAAAGAGGGATGACAGCCTAGTAATAATACCAATGTGTAATTGTGTAACATGCAAACTTCCTGTAAGTAATTACTAACTCAGTCTGTAAGCAGAAAGTTATAAAAAGAAACGTTTTACAGCTACCATTGCGAATGAGACCAAGCAATCTAGTATGTTTTAGAATGGAGTTATTTCAAGAAAATTTTCATTTGTAATTAGGGCCACATCATACAAGAGACAACCAATGTTTGGCCGGCATGGAGCTCATAAGCATCACGATTCAATGGGCGAAGTAAACTATTTAAACATTTTAATTTGTGTTTATTTATTAATGCATATATTTGTATGTTTAGATTGTTCAAGGGGACGGTAACGTTGCAAGTATGAAGTATAAGTACTGCGAAAATCCTGACATGTGAGTAAAAAATAAGCAAATAATATTTTATTACAAATTCTGACTTCCATATTATAAAATGCTTTAGTGTTGACAATCAGTTCTGTGAAGTCAATCCACACCCGGAGACACCGAGTGGTTTTAAAGTGAACAGAGATGGGGAATCTGTGAAAAGAGACCTAAAATTTCATCATGACACTTTATGGTAACCTAGCAGATGGTTCAATGAGTTACTAATTTAAATCCCACTAATATCTTTAATACTATTACTATTATTACACACATAAATGTTCACCTTTATTTTTTAATCCCAAATATTATATTTGTATGTACAATTTTTGTACTTATTTAGTGGTTTTAAAAATTTTAATTTCACTAATATTTATTACCATTACTGTTATTACACAGATAAATGTACAAGTTTTATTTTTTAATTTTCGAATACCTTGTTTTTTTACTAACTTAAATAAGTAGAATAATTTTTCTACGCTATTTTATTAAAATAGTTAGATGAATATTTGTGCACCAATATTGTTATTTATTTATATGCAAATTCAATTAAATTTGACACATGTGCAATGTTTTTAAATAAACTGTTAACAGTTATTTTTATAAATTATTATACTAATTAAAATATATGTTTGTTTTGATTTCATATAATTATTGATCTACTTACTAGGTAATAACAGCTGTTATTTCATGTCTGGAAAAATGTTTGAATCATTAACGCAATGATTAATATGTTTAAAACAAACTAGGAAAGTTATAAAAATCAATAATCTTTTCTTGTAATTCCTTAATCTAATCTTAATGCTTTCTTTAATAGTTATTCATTATAATATGTCTTATTTTAAATAAGAAAAATAAGTTATTTATAACATTAAATAAACCTTTGTTTGAACAGTTGGAGCGACTTGCAAGTTTGTTTAGCTCACACTGTAGATATCAATTAATGTACACAAGTGTAATTAAAAAAAAAAAAAAATGCATTTGTGATATTTATAGAATATACTATTGCATATTTGTAATTTTTCAAGTAATGCAAATATTTTAATGTCGCTATTCTTAAATGAGAACAGAGTAGTATAGAAAATTAATTTTCTGTGATATTTTTTAATAATAAAAACTATACAACTAAAAGTATATTTTTGAAAAGAGTAAAACATAATAATGTTCTGTAATATAAATAAAATACTTATATTGACAGAATCATCAACGAATATAGTTGTTATACACAAAAGATTTACTGGCTTTTATCAATTGCTGTCATGTTGTCCATAAGCACCATAGTTTCATAACACATATCACAAAAACGGGTTAACGTGTCCCCAGTTATATTTTTAGTAATGTTGAATGAAAGCTCGAATGGATCTTGTAATGTTAAGCCATTGCGTTTTTCAAAACTTTTGTAAATATTTGATTGAAGCGTTTTGAACTTGGCGCGTTGTGTCTTCTTAATCTCGGACAATTTTATGAAATCTGAGAAAAATTTTGACTTTTTCATACATTTCCCAGTAAATGTACACAATACTTGAGATTTGAACTTTTTTTCATCACTATAATATTGGAAAAAACCATATAAAAGGTTAAACCTCCTTTCAGTGTCTTCCGTTGTTTTTGGTTTTGGTAACATTTCAAATGAACAGTCCCAACCTAAAAAATTCATAAGCACGGAAAATAAATACTAAAGCATTAACAACTTAATTGGGACAAAATGTCAACATTGTTCAATTGTTGACAATATCAGATATTTCAAACCAAAATTAAAATTGTTATAAACAACGTAAACTGTCTTAAACTTGTTATGCATTTGTAATGCAGTTAATAAAAAATTGTGGTATTTTATAAAAAAGCAAAAATTGTATTCCATCAAACAATAGTTATACTGTAATACAATAATAATCTATTATCATTTAATTAGATGTTTACAATTTTTGGTTGCAAGTCGGTAAGCACTTTATTTTATTAGTGTTACGTATTGTATTTTTAAGTAATTTAATAGACAAACCTTCAATAGTTATTCTATTTTTTTTTGGAACCATATTCATGAGCTTGACTAGTGGTGGAACTATATTTATAGACATTAAATAAAACAATACTAGCCAAACAAGTGCATAACTGGTGAATAATTGTCGATGTTTTAAACCATTTTGCAATGCCCAATATTTGACAATACAAGTTACAAGCCAATGCACTTCATTATTAATAGACAAATAGTATCTAAAACATAACAAAATTTTTAATAATACAATTTTTTGTCAACTATTTAATTTGTATTAATATATCTTGGTTATAATTTTTACTTGATAAGTTTAGTGTTGCTTGTACTCAAACCACTTTTGAAAGATAAATCACAGTTCAGTTTAGTAGGAACGTGGTAAAATTTAAGAATCGGTACACGTGCATCACAAATTTGTTCAACATTTTGAAATTCTGATGTGCGGTCATTGCACTGTTGAGCAAAATACTTTACTAAAGACACTTGTCTATCAACATCATTTGATATTTGACCATTAAATGAATTACCTGTATACAATTAATGCACACAATTTAACAAAAACATTTTTTTTACATTTTACTATTTTGATATTCTTACTAACCGATATCTAAATACAAGTCTACATCACTGTTTATCATAGCAAGACCATAAACACGTGATCCAAAAACGTGAACATTTGTTAAATGAAATTTAACACCAAGGTTTTTCACTGTATCACATAGTTTATTTAATTTTTTTTTTTCAGTTGGATCTTCAGACGTAATTTTCATGGTACTTATCAAGTCAAACATTTTTTTTAATAATATTTCCCAATCAGAAAACGATTGTATAGTCTCCGGTGACAGTTTGTTTTCTGTAAGCGAGGCAGTTATAATAACCACATTATACTATTCAACAAATTTCTAGGGCTAATAAAACTAAAATTAAATTTTTTTTTAATTTTACCACTATCTTGTTCAAAAGTTTGTAATCTAATGCTATATTGTTTTTCTAACTCATCGCTGTTCTTCATTATAGCATGGACACCTTCTCTGAAAAATTTAAGATGAATTAAAACGTATATTACATAGCCTTTATAATCCTACTATGTTACATATCACATATTTTTAAGAACATTGGTCCTAGTTTCCAGATTGAAACTTTACTATAAACCTGTGCTTCTAAACAACACTATATATTTCAACCAAATATTACAAATCTAACAGTAAAAAATGTATGTAAAAGCTTGCCAACAACATCAGTTGTCCAAGGTGAAAAATAATCAAGAACAATGGAAATCGTTCATAACAATGTTGATTAAAATTTAAAAAAAACAGTGACAAACAAAATTAATAGTACCAGCCTAGGTTTCATTACTTTGAATGAAGCAATAAAAAAAGCCAGCACAGTGGGATTGTGCTATAGTCAGATCAGTGTAGTCACAAGTCTAAGGACTGAAGGAATGAAATGATAAAATTACTCATTAAAACGTGAATCTGTAGATGAAATATTAAATATCAATATAAATTCTTCTAATGGCAATAATGTACTTTGAATTCTATTTTTAGTAGCATGGTGGACATGATTAGGGTTGATTGTCTGTCTATGATAATTTACTGCCGTTATTAACTATAATATATAGCTAAGCATCAAAACTATAATAAAGTGTAAGACATACTTATCGTGTAGAAGGATTATAAAGGAATTCTTTTTGTTTGAAATCTCCTTGAACTCGCCATAATTTTTTCTGATTACCTTTTTCAACAATGAACACTCATTTTTTTTCAACTCAGCACTAATATCTGAAAAAAAAAAAATCCCCAGACCCCATTTAACTAATATTTTGATTATATTACTCATGTCATTACATACATACAATCATAAAGGTACAAATTTTTCAACCGTAATAATTCAAGAGGAAAAAAGCGAGAAATTATAAACATAAATAATAATTTAAGGGGCCTCGTGACTGTGATAAAATTGGGTGTAAATAGACCCTTGGAATTTCCATCATCCTGTGTTTCCATGAAGTCCGATTACTATTCTGAAAACAATATTTAACTCCTCTTCATCTCCTCTGCGGTTTGTAGTATCAGCTTTAAGCTGTTATTATTTACCAATATTTTAAAATAGTTAAAATATATTTTTTTTTTAACAAAAATTATTTTAAAATGAAAACAAATAATAAGAAAAAGTAGTCGACACTTCAAACCACAGAAGTGATTATGAATTCAAAACTATAGAAGTTAGAAAATAATGGAAGAAAACAAATTAAATATCAAAATAGACTCCTCTTTCCTGTGTTAATATATTATGTTAACAAATTTTAGCATATAAGATTTAGTGAAACGTTGCCTATACAATGCTCCTTCATAAATCAGTCGTAAGGCCCCCTAATAGTTAATGGAAAGTATTAGTTTTTTAATTAATCCTTACTTTTAATTTCTAGATAAATATTTCTGTTCTTCAAAACTTGTTTAGGCTTACAACTTTTGTAGTAAGTATTATTGTTTTCTGTTTTAGTAGTTGTAATTTTTCCACTAGAAATCTTTGAACTTTTATTAATATTAGGTGTTACTAACTCTTTTTTCATGTGCTCCTGAAAGTCTACCATGACTTTATGTTCCAATGATTTTACATGTGTTTTAACACTAGCAGAAATACTGATCTGGTAAACATGACAGATGGCACAGTAAAAAACAGAAGGGTTAGTAATTTTGCTATGATTAGTTGTGTAGTGTTCTGTCCAACTATTTTCTTCAGTAAAGACCAAATCACAAATAGCACAGTAATACGATTTTGATGAAGTAAAGGAATTAATAGCTTGTGGCATTTGGTTGATTAATTCCAAACTTATTCTTAAAAAATCATTAAATTTTGATGGTTTTCGCTGTTCAGAAAGTTTTTTTATTAATTTTTTTACAATATTGCATGATGGTTCTTGAGACATCAAGTTTGATTGGTTAATTTCCTGATCACCAACAGTAGATTTTTTTTCATTTTGGTTTGTCCCAAGAGATAATGATGAAAAACTTTTCAGTAAATTATCGGATTGTACAGAATCATCACTAAAGTGTGCATTGTCATCTTCAAAAATAGATAAATCAGTTGAATCTAGGCTAGACGATGTAGTAGACATTGTTAATAGCCTAAAACAAATTATTTCAAACAGACAGTTAAATCATACTAATTATATCCGAATTTTGTTTTAAAATAAAAATTGATAAGCATATCAAATCAATTTTACTGGATCAAAATTCTTAACTGACTTCTGTCATTATTATCAAGTCTAATGTTATTCAATTTTTTTTTTATTAGTATTACTGTTTTACTTACAGGACAGTTGAATTCTAACAAAGATATCAAGTGTAGATATTCGAGTGAACCCAGTTTTTATAATTACTCTCATGCCACTTTGAGATTTATTGAACTAATGAGATTTTTATGTTCAGTAATTAATTACAAAAGTAAAATAGTAGTTAATACAATACGACAAATACTATTAATGATTTCACTATTTCAGCGTCAGTATCTATGACATGACTATGAATTGTGAAAAAATATTAAATAAGAAAATACTCATAAGCCGACAGTTAGGATCTCAGATCTGAATATTTGGATTGCACTTTGCACTGCCAAGTGTTATCATGATTCATGATAAAATCAACAGGTATGTCAGCAACTTGTGATAACCAGATGGTATGGCTGTAATATTTGGGCGGCTATGTATTTCTTACGGGACTTAGCCGGCAGCCATGATTTAACAGATTCAGTCTTCTGACGTACCTTCATCCCCTCAGTATTTGGAATCGAAGATTGGTGAAATAAAGATGTGGGAAATAAAATAAAGTGTGGTTTAATGAGACGACAGAGACGTTTGTGTGACAAAAAGGTGCAATCTAAAATGGAAGGAAATCTGTGCAAAACTAATGAGTCCAACATTAATGGTGGAATTACTTGTTCGACGTGGAACGAAAAAGATATGTTGGGAAAAATGGAAGTAACTGAATGTAAAATGGGATCGACTGATGAGATGTATAATTACAATGGGACGTGAGAATGACTAGATTAGAATAGAAGAAATTTTGAAGTTACGGCATTAGCGGGGAAAACAAACGAGAATAAGGAAAGATAAATAACTTCAAAGATTCAATATATAATCCATACCATTGCTTATATATTAAAATATTATGTATAAAACAAACTATAATTGAAAATTACAATAATTGAGTTAAAACGATTTACTAAGACAATGATAAATTAAAAACGGCAACAATAACAAATATTAAATAATTTATAAATACATTTGTTATAAAAATTATGTTTTTAAATGTTTAGGCTTTACTTGACAAAGGAAGTGGTGTGTAAACAGTTCCCTCCCAGGTTAGCAATTACTTGGTTAAAAAAAGGCTTTACTTTTGACTATTAAAACTATTAAACAAATATTTTGTGCTAATTAGTATTAATCATATTTTGTTTAAAATAAATTTAACTAATTATTGGTATATTTATCTAGTATTATTTATTCTTGTTGTGTTTTAATTTAAATAGAATATAGTACACATTTTAATAATCATATAGTTAGAAGACATTAAATTTTGTTTAAAAATGAAGCAATGATTATTATTAAAAAATACATATTAATTACAATTTTAGATACTTTACAGTTAATACACATTTTATACTATCATAAATTAAATATACTTAGCTTTACACAGTAACTTTATTACTTTTCATTTATGTATAATTTGTTATACTCTTATACTTTTCTATCACATAGCAATTAAAAATTATAAGGAATCTAAGAACATCTACAATTAAAAATTAACATTAAACACACAGTAAATTGTCAAACTACATATAACAATGTATGGTATAATTTTTGTTAATTTAAAAAGTAAAACTTATATGGTAACTCTGAGTTAATCTTCTTTACTTAATTCTTCAGATGTTAAATTTTCATCGCCAAGAGCCGCTGCAACAAATGAAAATAAATTAAAAAATGAAAAGTACTTTTGACAGTAGTGTGTGTGGCGTTTTTATAGGAATTTTTTACATCCACTAAATGTTATCGATTTTTATGAACACACTTATACATACTCATAGATACAAAGTAACCCCCCCATTTTTTTGATTTCAAAGTAAGCAGAGCGACCTGATAACTCTAGTACCAAGTTCAACGCATTAGAACACTATATCATATTGTTGATTTTGAGTTATACATTTCAAGGAAACATTACAATTTGAATTTTTTGGTAGTAACCTTTTAAATGTCGAAATTTGTTTGAAAATTTAAATAACTTTTACGTAAAATAATGTTTAAGAGCAATATTTTTTTTTACAAAATTACTTTATTTTATTGTAAGTTGGAAATCTTTAGTTTCCATACAAAAGTAAATTAATTTTGACTTCATGTAGTTTCAAAAAAAAAAATTTCTTATTGTTTAAACTTTAATTGTAATATAAATAATAAAAACAATTTTTTTTATACCAATTATATTTTGTGTAATAGTTTTATCCAATTCATTTCTAAGTTTTTGCACATTGTATTGGTATTTGCTTACAGCACTATCGTTTTTTTCCAAAGTAGGGCTTGGTTCTGGTGTTATACATTGTGAAGTAAATAACATCTCTGGAGACATTTTCTGCCTAGAATTAAAAAATGAAATTAGTTTTTTTTAATATAATATATTATTTATTAAATGCTATTAAAATATAATAACATTAAAAATTAAATTAAAAAAAAAAAAAAAAAAATATATATATATTAATTTAGTGAGTAAAAAAAATGATAAAAGTTAATAAATACTTTTATTAAGCATATCTTTCAAACATTTTATTTTACTTTTTATTACTTAACTAACTTTAATGTTGATGTGAAATAACAGTAGCTATACCTATTAACAACTGATTAACCTAACCATGCAATTTAGGTTAAACTGACCTCATTGGAAGCTTTAATGTGTTATCTCTCTTTTATAGTAAGAGTTATACCTTCATTACTCTATCTTTTACTCACTGATTACTTATATTGTATGTTTTGTCAATTAATTTTTTCCATTTGTGGTCTTGGGTCTTTTCAATTTCTTGTGAAAGAATTTCACACCTTTCCCTCAATATTTGTTCTTCCATTTCTTTAGCTACATTCAATAATAAAAACACAATTAAATCAGCGATTATAATTTTAATTTGTTAGTAAATATATCAGTCTAATAGTCACAACATGTTTAACAAACTTTTTAGGGTGGTCTGAAGTTTTGCAATTTCAAGTTGAAATCTCTCTCTAGTATTTTCGAATTCATGTTTTAACTGGCTTTCAATTTTTTCCCTTTGCATTTCCAACTTTTCTTGTTGATCCATCTATTAGTATAAACATATTAGTTTAACATCAATTTACATAAGAAATCATTCAAACATACTTGTTGGGATAATAGTTTATTAAGGTCATAAAATTTATCTGCTAATTTTTTATCCGACTCAAACTTCACTCTGCTAATTTTTCTTTCCTGTTCTGTTTTTAATTTTAATATTTCCTTTTTTGGCACGTAATCTTTAAACATTTTATGTTGCATTTCTTTTAGTAGTTCTAATGATGGACCACATGATTGATGAGCACCAACTTCATTAGTAAGATGTTTAATTTTTTCATCAAGTTCCATTCTTCTGTCTTGTTCCATCTTTAAAAGTTTCTTTAAATTTAAAATCTGTAACATTATTAAATAAAACAAAAAAAAGTAAAACCAATATTTTTACATAACTTAGTTGTCAAATTTTACTTTATAGATAAAAATACACTAAATATTAAATAGTAACAGCTTACTATTTCAGTACTTTCAGTTTTGTGTGCATTGCTCGCTAGCTGTATTTGTTCATCCAAATCAGATTCCTAAAAAATGAATAAGAAAATGTAGCAACTCATAAATTCTATTATAAATAATAATGTTTTATCATAAAATATCACGCCAAGAGTATTTTATAGTATAAGATTATTTATTTTTATAGAAGTTTTAAAAATCAAACAATTTATTCAAAAATGTTAATGTAAATCATATTTTTTTACTATTATTCGAGTTTCAACAACTTAAGTACACCTAAGTATTTTTACTCTTTTTAATTTATATGAAATGTATAATTATATCTATACTTATTTATATGATAATGGTTTTAAAGTTGTAATTAACAATTAGAAGATAAGACATAAGAGTGAATGGAAATATTTTGCATTGCCAAGAAATTGGGAGAATATTTAAAATATATTGTCCATTAATTTAATTACTACAGTTTGATGGTAAGCATACCATACTAGCACCCGTCCCGTGTCGTCGTTCAGAACTGAAATATGTCTCATTGGGCTATCTACAATATTTATAATCAATGGTAGCAGTACTTTTTTTTTAGACTACTTAGTGTAAAAACAAAAAAAAATTATACTTAAATACTATAAAAACAATAACTACTTACAGTTGCAATATTATCTCCTTTTAGTGTTGTTTGATCTTTATGCTCACTTTTATAATCTAGTTGTGATGTTAGCTTAAACCAAAATAAACATATTAATATGATAAGATTAAGTTACAACAAAACTAGTACACAAATACCTCATTGTTAATTTGTTTAAGGTATTGATTTTCTTTATCTAAATTTTTAGTTGACAATTCAAGAGTTTGGATTCGATTCAAAGCTTCTGTGTACTTAGTGTCTAGTTCTTCTAATTGATTTTCAAGTCTTTTTGTTATTTCATTTTGTGAAGATATTTCCTGTTTGAGATTTTCTAATTTGTATTTCAACAGCTCTGTTATTTCTTTGTACCCAGCAGTTTCTTGCTGAAGTTTATCTTTGTCAATAGTAACTCGCTTTAAGTAAGCCTTAAGAGATTCTGTTCTCTAAAGAAAAAAATATAGATAAAGATATAAAACAAATAGATTAGAAAGGTTTAGATAATAAAAATTGAATTAAATATTTACTTTTAAAGCATATCTTGTACGTTTATGTGTTCCATAAATATCTTCATGACTTGTTGAAAAAGAAATTGTATTTTCAGAATCAGAATCGTCAGTTATACGAGTTTTAGACAATTCTCCTTAAATAATATAATAAACAATTACTATAAAATGTATAAATATAATTGTTGTTTTTAATTTGGTTCATTGCAAAGCATGTATAGAACAGCTAAAAATGAAATAGAACTATTTCTTTAGGATTTTTTCAATTACACTTTTCTTTAAACTGCTTAAGCTGCAAAAGTTTATATCTTAAAAATAATTTAAAAGTCTTATGAAAAATATTTATAACTGGGTGTAATATAAAATATTTTTGGTAATGAATTCTTCCAGAGGACAAGAGACTGGAACAGGAAGCTACCCTGTATCTACCCAAAACCCTTTAATCAACTTATATAACCGACCGAAAAGCAAAAGAGCAGTTATGCTTTAGTTTAATTAACTTTAAAGGCTTCTGCAAAATAAAAGATGCCAGTAAGGAAAATTAGTACCAGAGTCATATGGCAGCCAAAGCGACACTAATATTATAATAATTAAATCCCAATAATAATTAATATTTTACGCCCAACTATTCAACTGCTCTCGTCCGATTTGTACTCTAATGAGTTTAAGACTTGAAAATAATGATAGCCAATAGGCATGAACAACAGTTAGGCTAAAAGCCCATGTTACAATTAAGTCTTAAAAATTTAGATATAATCATTCGAACAGTTTTTGGATAATGTGGTTCATACGAAATTCTCCAAAAACATAATAACATGAATTTTTAAAATTTTTACAAAACTTTTACAGCATACTTATTAAGATGGGTAATTTTGATACCTTAAACAATTTTTGAAAAAATAAAATAAAAATCCTTAAGAAATAACTTGTTTTTGTTTGAGACCTCTTAAAAAAAATAATTTAAAATAAAAAAAGAGAATTTTTAAAATTTTTTATAATTAATAATAAAAGCTATATTTAATTTTAAAAAAATTACCAGGAGTTGACTTGGATTTTGGCAAATTAATTTCTTCTGAGCTAAAAATATAAAAAATTGTTTCTTAATAACATTTGTGTAATTGTATGTTACTAAAATAAATATTGAACAGCAGAATGAAATTTAATCATAATATAAATATGTTTAATGTTTACATTTATAACAAAAATTTTTTTAAAAAAGTTTATATTGGATTAGGTGGAGTGTCAATTTATAATGAAAATTTTAGTGATGAAAACTACATTCTTAGTCATAATGCGTCTGGTAATATAAATATACCATCTTAAAAAAATTCAAATGTGTAAATTTGAATTACTGAAGTGTCACAATGCTTTGTCAGGTGTTTTATCAATGTATAATTTCGAGAATGATAAGAATAATTCTCAATTTCTTATAACATTTAAACTATTAAACACATTAAATGGGAGATATGTTGTTTTTGGAAAGGTTGTTGATGGGCTGAGAATTAAAAAAACAGTAAGTATATAAAATATACAAGGTACAATAATATAATACACAGGAAGTGTACAATAGACTATGAATAAATAATATAAAAATAATCAAATTTTTAGATAGAAAATTTTGGACTTCCTACTGGTAAACCGAAGCGGAAAATTATTATTAGCAAATGTGGAATCCAATAGAATAACAGAAATTAAGAAACAGTTATTATTTCCGACAGAAATTTAAGAAAAATTACCAAATAACAACAAAATAAAACTTACTCGCTGTCATCAGATTTACTGTTATTTCTTATTACTGTATCCTGTTGTACAATTTTATCACGTCTTTTATTTGGGCTATACCAATAATGGGGGCCTTCTTCCTCAGAAGTTTCACTATCTTTAACTTCCAATTGTACTTCATCATGGTGTTCATCGTGAACTTTGGGCATTCTCATAGATAACAAAAGACTCCTTTTGGAACGTAAACTGTCATCACTTTGACTATCTGAATCTTTCTGCTGGTTTTCTAAAACCTCATTAGTATTTTTTAATTCCAAACATAATGACTTGGAGCGCTCGAATTCTCCATTATTGTTTTCAAGATTTTCAATGGTTATGTGTTCAGTAAATGATTTACTTTTTCCAAATGAGGTATGCGCAAAATTCATTTCTGGACTGAGCTGATGCAGTGCTTCATTCACTTCAGAGGGAACAGTTAGTTTAATTGTACCTAATGAAGTTGTAGACTTATTTCTTACATGTTTTCTAGTAGTGGGAGAGGTACTCTTGATGATGTTATCTGCTGAAGTAGAAACCTTGTTTTTGTTCTTACTCATCAATGTTTTAGCTGCAATCAAATTCAAAAAGGCATTTGTTTTTTTATTATCTTTTTTCATATCTATATCTGGACATGATTGATTAGGATCGGTTGGAAGACTTTCATTACTTCCCCATTCTAATTCTGAATCATCTGTATTTACTGGACATACAATAGGTTCAGGAATTTGAACAATATTTTCTTGAATTTCTTTTTGAGTTTTGTCATTACTATCGTCGGTCTGTTTAATGCTAGCTTGAATAAAATCCCAACTTCTAGGAGGATCCATTGGTGGTGGCATTGTACATTGGGAAACAGATTCTTCGTCTTTAGATGGCAAAATAATATCGGATAATAGTCTTTCTTTTTCATTGCTTGAATCATTTAAAAAGTTTTCTTCTTTATTTACTATTAAATAATTTTGAATTACTTCGTTTTGGCCACCAGATACATTAAGAGTTTCTTCTTTTTGTAAAACATTTATACTTGTTTCTTTAGGACTTATTGAGTCGGGTTCATAACTTTTTGTAATTTTTTCTTCACTGAAAGTATTATCTTTTTTTATTTCAGAACTTTGTTGATTCTCTTTGATTGGTATTTCTTCAACTTTATCTAAGTCATCCAAAAAGTTTTCTTTAGATCTAGTTCTAGCCATAATACTCATTTTTTGCATGGAAAGTTGATTTACAACTTTAGAGTATCCTTCTTTGGAAGCATATTCTTTTGCAGTATAACCTATTGAAATAAAATAACATAATTTAAAAAAAAAAGTAACTAGTAAATTATGTTACTTACCGTGTATATCATGTGTATCAAGTTGACTTCCTCTTTCTAATAATAAATCTACAATAGACATATTTCCTAGTTTGGCTGCTAACATTAATGGTGTACGTCCTTGTTTGTCTAATATGTTTACAAATGCGCCATTGTCTAAAATAAATTCTATTAAGTCCCGATTTTCAGTTGAGCATGCAACATGTAGAACTGATTCTCCAACCTAAAATATTGTTTAATATTAAATATGCATAATTTAATACACACGCAAAACTAACAAGTTTTCCAAAAGTTACTATATATTTTAAAATATCATAGCTCATCATAATTATTGATATAAAACATTAATTAAATAAAATCACAGTGTATAGTATAGAAAAGTTATGGATATTTATCATGGTGTTATTCTTCATTATTATTTTAAAAACAAATAGCAGAATTGTTAGTTATACTTACAGAATTTTGTGCGTTAATGTTAATCCCCTTTTTTAATAGCATAGATATTATAGTAAATGAACCTTGTTTCGTAGCCAAATGTAAAGCTGTGTTTTTATGTGTATCAGTGCAAGTTACATCAGCACCTCTTTCCAATATTAGATGAACACATTCTTTTTGGCCGCATTCTACAGCCTATATGTGCAGGTGCATATACTTTTAACCAGTGATGATCATATAATATACTAAATTTAGCTAATGATGGATTTAACGAATTTAGTTAATTATTTTCTACAAAAATGCATTGTTATTAACTACAGTAAGACTTTGAAGAAGATATTTTATTGAATATCATACAATAACTACACAAATGTTTAATCATCGTTTCACTTATTATATTAGTTTTATGAAATGAAAAATATATAGAGAAATAATTATTACTATTTAATATTTATTTATAGCTCTTTAAAAAAAAGTTTAGAATAAACCAAATACTGAGGGACTTATTTACTATTCGAATTTCATTAGTACCTAAAATTATAATATAAGTATTAAGTCGTTAGACCAGAGCAATTTCAAAGATTCATCATATCATACCTACTCTTGCTTAAGTTAAATAGAATATCTATATTTTTATATTGTTAATGTTAAACAAATTTTTTGTAAATTAGTATTTGGTAAAGTGTAGTTAAAGCAAAGCATACACTATCTTGTTAAATATTTTATAAGCAACGTTTTTATAATATAGTTAAATTCCCTCCACCAGATTACTTCTTCAAAGTCACAATGTTAAGATGTTAAAACATTACACCAAAAAAAAAAGATACCTTCAAGAACGGTGTATACCCATCACAGTCGATGCATTCTAAGTTAGCATTATGATTCAATAACAGCCAAGCAATATTATAGTAACCTTTTGCCATTGCCAAGTGCAGTGGTGTTCGACCAAAACTGTCAACAACATTAACGTCAGTTGGTTTTTTCTGCAACAAAGTTTTGACTTTTTCCAAACTTCCATGCCAAGCAGCTCTATGCAGTCGGCTCATTTTATCTTCAGCTTCAGAATCAATTTTATAACAATACATAGTGCTGTCTAATTCATCTTCTAACTCATCGCCTGATGGAGTATTAGCGCCGCTTTTGTCCTCCCTCTTACCACCTTTTACTAATTTCAACATTTTCTTCATGTTGGTTTTTTTTTTTGGTGATCTTGTGCAAACAATTACTAATGTGCGATTCAAATATATAATATAATATTCCACATAATATCACTTATTTGTGTAAGTGCGGTAATTTCTCGATTAAAATATTTTACTAAATAAGTTGGAAAAAAAATCAATAATACCTTCTGCACGGGTTGTACTTTGGGAATAATTTGCTTTATTGTGTATTATTAATATCGCAGCAAGCACTAGTTTTATATAGAGATAATTTAACTAACATCTCACGGTAAGTTTTTAATTTGAAATCGTTGTTATACAAATCATTTGTATAAAGGTACCTATTAGGTAGCATTGGAATTTAATACTTTATTGATACTTGTATTAACGTTCCCGCCTCTAGCCCGGAGGTTCGCAATTCACCTCACGTGCGCAAGAGGAGAAGGGATTTGGGTCCTTTTACATTGTTACCATGGTAACCGCTAACTGTCCATCGTAGTCTATGAACTTTGAAGTTGGCAACAATTCTGTATTTTCTCTACACCATATTATTACATTGTTACCAGAGGGAAATGTTTATAAAATATAGTGTATGGAGTCCAAACCAGCTATAACTTATAGCCTATAGGTATTACCATTTAGATTGAGTATATCGTCGACCTAATTCGCAATTGTCCTAACCGCATGATGATTATTATTCGGGCACTGAACTATATTATAATTTATATTCAGTTCAGTGTATTCAGGAAAGACGAAAAACAAATCATGTTTACATCAGTCGGCTGGTAATCATAAACAGTTTTTTCTTATCAAATAATAATTGTCCGATTGATATCGGGATGGTAGGTATTAAACGTTGAAATTTGAATAAGAAGTTTTTTGATAAAAAAAATGTTTTTAACTCAAAACCGTATTTATGGAGTTAGGACTAAGGTAGATTGCGACTTGCGAGTTAGGCCAACCGCCGACGATATACAATATAATATCGCAGATAAGATAAAATATAATTTCATCATACCTGTGATAATATACTCATAACTCAATATTGATGACATAAATCAGGATTCTCGAACTTCGGTAAATACGGATTTTTCCCATCACTAATACTCAATGGTATTATTTATTATTCAATTTAATCTGTGTATATCGAGCTAGCTGGTGTAAATATGCATTATGCCACCGAGAACTGATTTTCATATCTTATCCGCTATTAATAATATAAGACTTCTTCAGATATTGTAATAATTTTATCTAGCCCGCACATCTATAAAAATTTACAACATTGTCGGATCCAGCAATTGGCTTTAAACAAAAATATCAATACCAATCTGTAAACCCGTTCAGTTACATTACGGAAATACATACTTCATACATGCCTCAATTGTTATTTCGCATGAACTAAAAAAAACACGAAACTTTAGATAAAATTAAGTTTATTTTACGTTTATTTAACTTTGTTAGTTTGTCTTAATCGGGTTCATGATATAATTTATAACTAACATGTTAGTTGTATTATCATAGTCGGGTTGATATATTTTATAGGATAACACCACAGAATAACACATTGATTATTATCAATGGGATAACATAAAAAACTTGCACCATAGCCATAGACTTTATAATATTATAAGTCCATGACCATAGCAATCTGTGCACCATAGATAAGTATATAAAAGTGCTGTGCACTGTGTAGTGTGACAACTGACTACTGAGGGTAAACGTTATGTTATCAGTATTCAACATTGATTACTGATAGTAGTGTAGGTATACAAGAGTATATAGTAGTTTTGGGCTGTAATCCAAATTTGTATTGCAATTTATTTTCACACTATTCGTAAATGAATACATTTTTTTGAGAGAGAGTGGAATTTAAATAATGTGCAATAAAGTGTTAAACTTAAAACAAGTAAGTAATCAAGTTAGTTATTATTTATTATACCGTCGGATTGTAGGTATTTTATCATATTTTTTTTAGCTTTTTTTCTAAAAGTACTGAATTGTAAAATTATGGAACTGAAAAAAATATCCTTTAAGGTATAATAATATAATCTACCTTATTTGATGAATTTACACACCAAACATAATTATAACCAGCTTGATAATTACATTTCTTTTATTTATCATATCAGCAAATTTTCATTTATCAAGGTAATTTTTAAGTATTTGTTGTGAATACATTGTCCTGCACTATAAAAAATAATAGTTGTCTTGTACAATAAATAAATTAAAACAAAATCCAAGTAAATTAATTTGATAACTTTCTTCTTTTTCACTTACAATATAACCATATTAGTGCATTTATTATTTATTGTTTTTTTTTTTTTAACTAAATTTGTATTTATATTATTACAATTTTTTGTTATAGTTTATGTTACGTCAGAAAACATTGAGGCTTTACAGAGATTTTCAAAGAGTAATTAAGCAAATTCCATTAGAAAGTGATAGACAACAATTTTTTGAGTGGGTGAAATACGATTTCAAAAAAAATAAATTGGAAACTGATGAGGTTTGATTTATGTTATTGTAATCATTATTGAGAATAATATGTGCTTAGACGAATACTTTTTAAAGTAACATCTATTAATTATTAAAACTTATATACAATATTAAAATTTCTTAACCTTCAAGTGCTCGCATGACGGAATTTGTATTCTCGGCATTGTGTAGGAAAAATGTTCAATTTATGTATTTTGAATAACTAAAGAATATCTGTCAGTACCGCCAGACTGAGTTAATGAATTTAGAAGTGGTGTCTATTTTTTCTTCAAATAAGGCAGTGTAAATGTGGCCCACGCGAACGCTTGACGGTTAATAAATAAGATTATAAAAATCTTATATATTGCATATTATTCAATACCAAATTATTTAATTTGATTCTAATTCAATAATTCTAGAATAGTATTCAAGGAAATATTCATTATTAATTAATGAGTTATTTTAGAAGTGCATAGTTTCAAGTTGATATAATTTAATATAATATAGACAAAATAAAAAACATGTATTCAAATGTTTTTAAATTTTTTTCCAGTACTGCATAAAAAAATTACAAAGTTACGGAGAAAAATCGCTAAAAGATCTTAAACTCAACTTAGCACTTAGCAGTCCAAAAAATCTGTGAATAATATATAGGTAATATGGATTTTAAATATAAAGCTGAAACGGGATTACAACTAATAGCTAGGCTCAAATCAAGGCCAGCTATTATAAATTTAAATCCTTTATTATCAGATGATCTAACTAATGAAACTGTAGAAATATCTGGTGATACATCAACAGGAAAAACTTTATTTTTAACCGAATGTGTTGCCAAGTGTATAATTCCTCAATCTTTTAATGGATTAGATGCTGGTGTTGTGTATATTGATCTAGATGGACAATTTGATGTTACGAAACTTGTTCAAATCATTAATCGTATAATTAAAGATGCAAACTCGGAACTATTGAAGTCATGTCTAGAAAAATTAACGGTTATTAATTCATGTGATAGCTCTACACTTTATATAACATTTCAGAGATTGAAAATATTTTTGAACGAACAAAATACAGTGGGACTGATTATTTTAGATAGTATATCTGCTAATTATTGGCAGGATTCAATATCTGGGGGTGAAAAATACATGGATGCTTATGCAGAGAAAATGGTAACAACTTTAAAAACATGTACACAAGAGTTTAAAGTACCCATATTATTTACAAGGCCCAGCTATTTCCATTCAAAACGCAGTGATTCTACATCAAACTTTATAAGTACAAAAATTGTTCTTGAAAAATTTGATTCAGGATATTTTGCTACTGTAATGAGAAAAAATGTAAACACTTGGTACAGATTTAACATTAACGATAGTGGAATTTATGATTTTAGTAGAAAACATTCGCGAGATAATGAAATTTAATCTTATTTATTTAAATTTAGTTTAACTTATTATTATAGAACATGATGTATGATTTATAGATTAGGCATATTAAATAAATATACATTATTATTTTTGATGAATACATGACTATATTTTTTTATGTTTAGAAAAATTACAAAATGTCTCCACCTAATGATGTGAACAATTGTTCTTCGAGTATGGATCAAATTATTAAAGATATACATTCTGGTTATGTGCCTGAAGTGCCATTTGATGAAAATAAATGGGATGTTAGAGATAAAAAATTATCCGATCATACAAAAATTGCTCAATCCATTCTGAATGGTTTAAATGACCAACTTACTTTTTTAATTAACAACAAATCGTATTTAACTGTTAGTAAACATGAGCCGTTATTAAGCTCATGTTTATATCTATGTGGTGAACATTGGCAATCAGATTTAATGTGGAGTAATGCAGAATGTCGTTTATTGGCAAATTTATGTTTGAAACAATTATGTGGTCTTATAAAAGTAACTAATATTGAAGAACTATTTACTAGTATGGACATGTCAAAGGTTTTTATCGGCTTGTATTCATCTAAACTAGATAAAGACGATTGGAAAAAATATCCAGCTGCTGTTCAATGTTTCATGTGGATGTTAAAATGTTTAAAGGTTAGATTTAAAAATATACATTAATATTTTTAGAGTTGTATTTTGATTAACTCTATTTTACATTTTATAGATGCCACATTTAAATTCGTTACTTTACATATTGATGCCGTTGCCATTAAAAATGTTTGACGATTACAGGGACTCGAATATTATTATTGCACTGAATGCTTTTGAACATATTATAGAAAATACTGTTAGTAATGAATTTTTTATAATTTTTTTTTTTGGGATGTATAAAAAAATTGTTTGTATTTTTCATTTAGCCTTCAGCAGAATTATCTATGAGTGGACATGATAAAATTCTTATGAATTCTTTAGAATCTAAAATACGGGGTTCAGAATATCAATTGGTACCACCAATAATAAAATGTTTACTGTCTTTGATTTCTAAAATGCAGTTGAAGCATGTAACTGGAAAAAATGATTTAGAAGTTAGTTTATTTTAAAATTAACAATTTAAAATTATTGAAACATTTTGAATTTTATATTTTTATAGTGGACAAAATTTGATGATGTTTTGTACATCTTGATACCAAGAATGGAACTAGAAAGTAAAAATGAGCCAATAAAAGAATTTGCATCCGTTTTACCATTTATCCTGAAGTCGGTAGGATTTTCAAGCATTCGATGGTCACAACGCTTAATACCGTTGTTTGCCGATTATATTATGTATAAACATTCAAAATTAGTGACAATACAAGTAAGTCAAATAAATACATTTATTTATATAATATTTACATAAAAGTATCTAATGTGTACAGTTCAATTGTTTTTTTTATTGTTGTTTATATAAGGCTATAAAAGTGTTTATTCTTCAAACATGGCCGAGGAAAGCAACTCATTGGAAAACTTTGCTAACAATATTGGTCAAAGCCCTTTACGATGAAGACAATTTGAATTCATTGCCGCCAAATGATGAAAATATTACAGCGATTGTGGATTGTATAAGAACACTAGTAGCAGCTGTTCCTGAAGCTACTATATCTTTAAATAAATTAAAGAACGAGAACGAATTTCAAACAAAATTAATACTTATAGAAGCATTAAATAGTATTTAATTTGTATGATTTGTATTATTAAAAAACAGTCATTTTTTTGTGTGTTTCTCTATATACGTGTTCTTTTTCTATAGATTTTCCTTCAGCTATTAAATTTTTTAAGTTAGTATTAGCTTCGTGTAACTTCTGGTCAACTAGTTTGTGTTGCGTAGAACCTGCAGTACTACGACTTAGCTTGTGGTTTAACTCGTTAATGGTTATTTGTTGTCGTTTAATGTCTTCTTCAATTTTTAAACTGCGTACATTTAAGTCGTGTGTAGTTGAAGTTTTTAATTTTTTCTCATCAACAGTTTTCTTCTCTTGGCTGGCGTTTTGAACATCTTTAAAAGCAATATGTAGTTTTTTTTATTCATAATTAGTTAAAAAATCATAATTGTTTTGTATATACTTAGTTTATTGTTGAGAAATGTAAAAATGTCTTGTGGTTTCTTTACTGATTTTTCATAAGACCTTTTCATAGACTGTTCAAGTTTCATTTGTTTTTTGCGCTTTTTTTGAAGATCTTGACGATGTTCTGACTGTTTAACAGCCATGCAATGATCTAGTAAATGATTATAAGTAAAAATATATTTTTAAATAGAGTTTATTTGTTTACATTTAAATATATAAAGTGAATAATATACAAAATTTAAATATAAAAATATATATTCAAAACATTGTTTTAAATCTGTATTGAAAATATTTGTTAACTGTATAAAAAAGTATGTTAAATTATAAACATCGTGTTTATAATCAATAATTATAAGTATGATAAAACTAAATATTTCAGAGTTATATACAATTCTGTAAAATTGTATTTTGTGTATACCTATTTTAAAAATGTTGTTATGCTAACGTGGACAATCCATTAGACAGTTTGATTGGTTCAAATAGTAATGTGTAACATTTATAACTTACCTAAAGATACTCCTTTTGGAAGAACAGTTGCCTCTACGGGAATTATTCGACCCTCACCATTTTTCCCTAATCCAGCTCCCATTATGTAACCCATTTTAGCCATTAGTTTTGAACCAATACCCTAGATATAAAAACATTGCAGTCAATTAAAATTTTAATATATTTTTCTTAACTCACTTTTGTGTGTTTTTCCCAGCTGCCCAAACATTCCAATGGCTCTGTGCTTAGTAATATTTTATTTACAATAGCCGAGTCACGATCTTTTATACTATTTTCATCATCACTGTCTGAAGAAGAAATTTCAAGCAAATTCTCATCTAAAAATTTTAAATAAAAGTGAGGTAAGCTGTGTTGGTACGTGGGCACAAAAGTTGATGTGTGAATATGCCATATTCATTTTAAAAATTTTAATGGCTAAAAAACGAGAAATCAAATTTCTTTTTAAAAAATTTGCTAATATTATAATTTGCATCTCGTGTATATTTTATGCTAATGCATAACATTAAAAAATATATATAATTTTAGTAACACTCGTATAGCATATTTTTTAGTAAACCAACAAGGTTTTTATAAACATATTCACGTTAATAAACATATTGAGTAGGTGTAACTAAATATTTTATGACATCATACCGTTGCCTACTAAAGGGTATATATTTTGCATTGCAACCTCGGTTTCTCCTAGACCTTTAGTTTCATACCGTACAACACATAGTCCATCATCTTTTAATGTGCTATGTACTATGTCTAATATAATGGCTCTAGCCCAAAGGCCACCTTCACGGGTTTTTGCCAACACCAAACTACCTTTTTTTAAGTTTTCAAAATTTGGCTCTCTATAAAATAAAGTATAAATGTATTAAAAAAAAAGTTACTAGTGATGAAAAGTTAATTTTGGATACTTGAATTCCTTAAGACTAGATAATGGTACTTGGGTACCGTGTGAGAAATAACATTGTTCTTCAGAATATTTGCATTCTCCATTCAAAAAGAACTGACAAGGTAGCATTTCGTTGCTTGTAGGATTTGTATACAAAACAGTAACCTAAAAATCATAATATTAAATTGTAGTAATTTAAAATAACCTATAAAATTAAATATGATAAATTAAAAAAAAAACCTTACCATTATGTTATCTAATGACTGTGCATTTGTTGAATCATTCATATTGACCGACATGACAAGTGCATTGTGAAAACTAGTATTACCATAACCATTATCAAATGGCGCTTGGCATTTAGTACCTTGAAGATTTTCTAATTCATTCTAAATCATTTTAAGTAATAAATCAATTCACCAATATTTTTCTAAACTGGAAACTTATATATTTTAAAAATTACATACTATAAAGTGTTAAATTTAGTACAAAAAATATACATTATTTTAGTTCTACTTATTTACATATACATAAGATGAATTGTAAAAAAAAAATCTCAATAACACTACAGTTTCAATATTTAAATCATGTTTTACTACATAAAAAATGTAATTGATCTATACATACTTAATATATTATATTTTTTACCCAAATTAAAACATTTCGATAACAAATTATCAAAACTGCTTTTAATGAGACAATAACCGATTAATACCATAAATAGTATTGTTACAATTAGCAATTGCCTGATTACAATAAAACCACTAGTGTCGTGCCAACAATAATAATAGGTACCTAGGGAAACCACTTTTAACTGCCCCTCCATAGTCTGCAATAATTATTATTTTAACAATTTGCGCACCTTAAATTATGGTCCCTTTGTCACCCTAGGGTACTTGTTCCCTCCTATGTATGACTGATAGTCACAATAAATGTGTTTACAGTAAATCACAATTGTATTAAGCTACAAAAATCTTATCACCGATTTTTCTTAGTCGAGGAGATAATTTTCCAAAGACTTAGTTGCTTGGATTTTTTCCCCTTGTAATGCATTACATAATTATTATTTATGAGTATATTTTTAAGTAAAAAAATGGTTAGGTTATTTTCATTATTACGTGGAATTTATGATTATTAATTTTATTAATTAAATTCTTGCATATTTACTTCAATCCCATTTGAATCAGTGTCTTCAAAGTTGTCATTTACAATTGTACATGCATTGGAATCATCATCTGATGTGATTGATACCACATCCACTTGACTATTTCTTGTCTTGAGTTTGAGAGAAAAGTATAATAATTAATAGTTGGGTATATAAAATATAAATTACATATTATCTAATACTATTTCATTTAAAATAAAATACTTGACACCTAATATTAGTACAATATTATTACCATAATTTTATGGCACAACATTTATAACCCACTCAATACAAAACACACTTGTGATCTGTTTTCAAAATAATTAAATCATTAAAATTTAAGTAGGTATTTAAATTTTACAAATTTAAATATTCAAATTGTCTTAACATTTTAAGATTTAAGTTCTTGAAATAATATTAAAATCTACAAAAATTATGTAAAAGTTTAAATACTTATTGCTTTTCAGATATTCAACTAATTCCAATTACTAAAAAACATAGTGTGTGTTTTTATATTATGAGATAAAAATTTGTAGTTTTTTTTATTATTATGATTTTTTGAAATTGGAATTAAAAAACCCTTAAGATCCTGCTGTTAAAGATAGTATTTTCATTATAAGTAATATTGTGAACTTTTGTGATTAGTTTGTTCATAAGTTAAAAAGTTGTAATACATACTAAATTATTTTCGTTGGAGACATTAACAATTTCACAAGAAGATGTTTCATCTTCATCACAATCATTTAAGTCAATATGTTGCGGTTTATCAATTTCTGCCTGTAAATAAATCATAAAAATATTGTACACACAATCAGTAAGATATTTTCTTTTTTTCTAAGAAAAAAATGGTTTTACTAAGGGATTTATTCTTAACTTTAAAAAATCATTGTAAAACAAGGAGATTACATTTCAGGTTCTTTAGATTTTGTTAACTTACCTTGAATAATGCATATTCTTCATCTAAAGAATCTGTATACTGTTGGTTAGATGTGCTAGCCTCACTTGTCAATTCGATCAACTCTTTCAAGCTATTTCTTAACAACAACAACTCATTCAGTTGACCATCACATTTTGACAGAGCAATTGCCTTTTCTACCTGGACTAACTACAAAAGAAATATTCAGAATAATACAAAAGTCCTTTTGGGTGTTTTACCTATAACAGTTTCATATAAAAATTAACCTGTTCTTCATAGTTCATTTGTAAGTCATTCGAATTATCTTTGGACATGTTAATATATAGCTCGAATGGTTTTACATGTTGGGGAAAAAGATTCGTGGAACACTTAAAAGTTAAAACTTAAAAGTATCATGATATTAGAAAGTTCAAACTCTTGAGCTCATCAGTTATCACTATATTCACTAATCACGTCTTCTTGGTTATTACTGTAATGGCAAATAAACAGGTATGTCAGCTGCAACACGACATGTTAATTTGTTATCAATTTTCACAATTTTTATAATATGGCTGCTGATCTTCATCTGTAAGAAATACACGTTATCACATGTTGCTTGACATACCGGTGGTTTTTTTTGGGTCTTATTACTGATAAAATTTGATAGCATTGATCAGCAAGTCTGCGGTCTAAACTCCAAACTCGTGAGCTGTAAACCGTGTAATTTGTGTGCTTAAGTAAGCGTATTGTTAGTTACTGTAGAATTTTCATGCTCACCGACAATAACAATTGTTTCAGGTTTTGAACTTAATACGTGGCGCGTAGCAATTTACATAAATTCCATCAACACGATGTCTGTTGAAACGGTTTCTGTAGAGAAACTCACCATAGGTAACTATGAATTTTTTTCTTCTTCAGATTTAACGGATCATAAAGATGCCCTCCTGATGGATAGGTTTCTTAACCACTTATTTATGCCAGGACGAGTGGTTAGTCCGTCACTGGTGAGGGGGATGGTGACATTTTTTTAACTGGTTGATTTCTCGCCTAACAAACAGAGCCGCACGTTTTCGAGCGTCAAACCGACGACAATAAAAATATATATTTTTCTAAGTTTTAATTTTAGTTCTTGGTTTTCTATTCTTGAATTTGGTTAGAAAAACGTTTTTGTTGTAAGATGTACCAATACAGTTTGGTACTATGTTAAATATTGCTCTACTATTATAATTATGTGAACAACAGAGCACCAGCTGCCATGAATGAAATTGAAGTATTATCAATTTTCTAAAAATTGTCCTATTTATAGGTGAATTATATACATCCGAAAAATTTGGCAATGATAGTACCGGTGATGGTACTGAATCAAATCCATTTAAGACTATTCTGCAAGCGATGAAATATTTTGGAAAAGAACCATTTCCATTAATTTTAGTGGATTCTAAAACTGAAGGACAAGTATGAATATTAAACACAATTATTGTTCCTCTCAATTATAGTTTTAGCTTAGACAACAATGGTATAATATTAAGCAATCATAATTTGAGAGTATACAGCTTTAATTAGTGTAATGTCTCATACTTTTATAGTATTTATTTAATGTAGAAATGTAAAACTACATTTATTTTTTAGAAGTATGAACCAGCCGCAAAAACACAGTTGAAAAAAAATCAAAAATTTTGGGTGAGAGACAATCATAAAAATGCTGATAAGGCTAAAAAAGAAGAAGAAGATATAGCTAAAAGAAACAAAAATATGGAAGAAGCCAAAACATTGATTATAAGTGAAGATTCGTCATTACCACCTGCTGTGTTAATAAAAATTAAAAAGGCTGAAGAATATCGTAATCGCAGAGTAAAACTATATGGTTGGGTGCATAGATTAAGGCGACAAGGTATTTAATATTTTGAGATTCAAAGCAAAACTTTTGCATATGCTTACACATAATTTTTGTTTACAGGAAAGTCTTTAATGTTTATTACATTAAGAGATGGAACTGGATTTTTGCAAACTGTACTTAATGATAAACTGTGTCAAACTTATAATGCTCTAATGTTATCAACTGAATCGTCTGTACTTCTTTATGGAGTATTAAAAAAAGTTCCTGAAGGAAAATCGGTATGACAAATAAAATAGTTCATTTAGTAATTATTTTAATTTTATCAAGTTATGTATATGATAACAGGCACCAGGAGGCCATGAACTCCAAGTAGATTTTTGGGAATTGATAACATTGGCACCACCGGGTGGAGCCGATTCTATTTTGAATGAAGACGCACATCCTGACGTTTTGCTCGACAACAGACATATAACCATACGTGGAGAAAATGTATTAATTTTTAATTATTAATATTGATGATAAATTTAATCAGTCATGTTTTTGCAGACATCTAAAATCTTATTGATGAGGTCTGTCGTAACTCAATCATTCCGAACGCATCATTTAGATAAAGGTTATGTAGAAGTAGTGCCACCAACACTTGTTCAAACTCAAGTGGAAGGAGGATCTACACTGTTTAAACTTGATTATTTTGGGTACTTCATTAAAAGCGAACAAAAGAAAAAAAACAATTTTTTTTAAAAAAGTTTTACGTTTACAGACAAGAAGCTTACTTGACTCAAAGTTCTCAGCTCTACCTAGAAACATGCTTGCCAGCACTTGGAGATGTGTTTTGTATGGCTCAAAGTTATCGGGCAGAACAAAGTAGAACTAGAAGACATTTATCAGAGTAAGTAAAATCGTTCTGAAAGTTTACTACTCTTTAATTAAAATATAATGGTTTGAAATGTAATACCTTTTTTTTTTTTATCAGGTATACTCATGTGGAAGCAGAGTGTCCTTTTATTTCTTTTGATGATTTATTGGACAGAATAGAAGATATGATTTGTGATGTAGTAAAACGAGTTTTGGAATCACCTTATGCTGACATAGTTAAACAGTTGAATCCGGTTAGTATTAATAGGTTTTACTTAAAACATAATTAATTATTTAGCAAAAAAAGAAATGTTAGCATACACTTTGATTGTATCCAAATTATAATTGTAATAAAGTATAAAATGCATCTGACTGTTTTTCTAAAATAAAACTATCGATGTTAAATACATGGCTTTGATTTTAAAAATTATACACCATACCTGTGTTTTGGCCAGACAAGATTATTCACCGTTTATTTTAAATGTCTTTAGCTGTTTCCGGAGATAATGTCTGCAAGTCGGAAACATATAACAATTATATTGTACATGCTTTATTTATAGCTCTTATTGTAACAATATATTAATGGTTAAACAGTTATTTGCGTAATACGGCAAACACCAAGTTAAATTTAAATAACTTTATAGCAATTTCCTTTGTATTTAATATACTTCAAACACAATTTATTATTATAATTTTATTTTTAGGAATTTGTCGTTCCTCAAAAACCTTTTAAAAGAATAAACTATTCAGAAGCAATCCAATTTTTACGCCAAAATGATATTAAAAAAGAAGATGATACGTTCTACGAATTTGGAGAAGTAAGTTCTCTTTGACGTACATATTGACGCTTCTTACGTAAAACAGTCGCCAAAAAAAAAACAACACTTCAGCATTTTGCTTAATCCAAGTTGAAGTGTTGTTTTTTCGTAGGAGCGTCGGTATGTTGTTTTATGTATGTAGTATATAGATGTATAATAATTTAAATTATATAATTTACAGGATATTCCTGAAATGGCTGAAAGAAAAATGACAGATATAATAAATCAGCCAATTATGTTGTGTAGATTTCCGGCTGAAATTAAGTCGTTCTACATGTCTCGTTGTCCCGAAGATAATAAACTTACTGAATCGGTAATGGGGATTTACACTTGTTAGTGTATTGTATGCTAAAAATTGTTATTGTTTAAAGGTGGATGTGTTGTTACCCGGTGTCGGTGAAATAGTTGGTGGATCCATGCGTATTTGGGATGAAGAAGAATTGCTGGCTGGCTATAAAAAAACTGGAATTGATCCAAAACCCTATTACTGGTATACAGATCAGGTTCGTTTTGACGTTTAATATTTTTTATTGCAAAATTATATTTTATGCAAAAGGCCTATATAGTATATAGGACTATGTTAACATTATATCCTCATAATATAAGCTCCTCCCTCCTCTATACTTTATTCTAAGACCCGGGTATTATTGTTGTATATTTAGAGAAAATTTGGATCATGCCCTCATGGTGGATACGGTCTGGGATTGGAGAGGTTCATGTGTTGGCTATTGAACCGTTACCATATTCGTGAAGTTTGTCTGTACCCAAGGTTTCTAGATAGATGCACACCTTAATATGGGTAGTATAAGAAATTCAATGTAGATTATTCTTATAATCTTACTTGTTTCCAATAATAATAATAATAAATTTGTATAACATTTTCAATAATAAAAGTGTTGTATTTAAATGAAATATATTGATACTTTTCAAATTTACTAACAATATTTATAATAAACCGTAATAATATATGTTAATATTAATCATTCACTTGAAATATTTACCGTTTTAATTGTATATCATATAATTTAGAAGAAGAGATGGACTTTATTCAAGTTCAAATATTTGGATTCGAATATTTTGAAAAGTATTTTAAAATTGTTATCAAAATATTTTACTTTTTACATGTCGAGTATTTAAATAGTTTGAATACAAAATATTCTAATTATAAAATATTATTTGAATAACTCTCATCAATGTAATTGATTACAAATTGAAAGGTTAAATTCTTAAGTGTATACAAGACGAATTGAAAAAAGTACGAGAAACGAAAGCAGAATCAGTTTTGGGTTTGAGTTTAGTAAAAAAAAAAAGAAAAAAAAGGTATGCTGGGTGGTATGTCTGTATTAATCGAACCTGTCCCACGTTTTTTGGCGAAATCGCGCACCTGTTAATATATTAATATATTAAATATTGCAGGACTTATATTATTAAACCATTGACGATAACAATGTAGCGTAATATATATTGTGCAAAAGAAATCGATTTGTATTATGAAGGTAAATGTTTATTTTTCTAAAAGCTTGCAAATTCATATACATTGATTTTTCTGTATTTTATACTAGCCAAATATCTTACTTAAAAAGGTGGAACATACTAATATAACTATAATTAACCATTCGCTTACCGGTGTTATGCTCCCGAGTTATGTTATAAAATATAGATAAAATCTGTTAAGTTTTAATTATTTAGCCCTAACCTAACCTAACCTGACCGTCGCAGTCACTCTTTTCTGTTCTGTACGACAACGTTCAAGAGCTTAATTCTATAGAAATTATATACTACATCAAAATTCCAATAGGGAATTACTGATTTGTTTACACAAACAGAAATCGCATAAACCTCGCATGACGCAATGCGGATGTTTAAATACTTTAAAGACCCGTTAACTTAACTACGACTTTCGCGTTCCACGAATTAATACTAATAAATTCTCTCAAAATATTATGAAATCCTAAAAGGGATAAAGCAAATGCGTTTACGGTAAAGCGCGCAAATTGAAAGCATTTCATTCCCCGGTCCCCGTAAACTGGAAATCACGCTAATGCGTGGTATGTGGTGTGGTAGTACCATATTAAAAAAAAAAAAAAAAAAAAAAATAGGGGTGGTAAATGTGAACAAAATAAAAACCTTTTCACGGATGTTTCTATTCCACGGATTACCATATTTTTTTTCGTCGTGACTGTCGCTTAAGAAGTCGACAAAGCTTGTCGCACACGCGTTATTCGACGGTATTATAATAAGCCCCAAGTACGACGAATAAATGTATAAAATTAAAAAAAAAAAAAAAAAAAACAGGATTCCAATTTGAACGATTTGCGATTCGATACAATGTAAACAATATATTATACGTATAGGTACAATGTACAATATTCGATTTGTACGAAGCGAGGTTATATAAAAAAATAAATAATAACTCTTTTTGAGTTGAACGCGAAATAAGCTCTGTATTGTGTACTGTACACGCGCCCTTACCTGAAACGTGCTCGACGGGACACGTGAGTGTTTTAAACAAATGTGTTCACATTGAATTCAAACGCAAATTGGCCGGCAGTAAATGTATACATGTAGGTACAACCGAGTGGGGGGGGGGGGGGGGGGTGGACAGACGCTGCAGTTTTATTTTCCGAATCAAAAAAAAAAAAACCCCCCCTTTGGTTTCACAGCCACCCCTGTGCCGCCGTCGAGCTAATGCCAAACATTATTATTGTTATGGGCATATTCCACACTGTAGCGTGGGCGTGTGTATTGCGATGCTTTGAAGAGTTTTAACACGATCAATTGAACCGCAACGCGTTTACTCCATTATACAGTAACTTTGTTTTTGTATGTTTGTTATTGATGCTCTCCGGTAAACGCCGCCGATATTTCTGGGTCAAAGGCATCCCACTGGTTCAAGGCACGTCTCCAATGGTCTGTAGCCAATTCGAACATTGATTGTTCCACGTAAAATCGTAAAATTGCAGAGTCGCATTTAGGATTTTTCCAGTCCCTACATTACGGCCGCCCCCATTGCAATCAAGTTGTACATACCTTGTACGTTTTTCAGTGAAGGGTAATAAATTGAGGGAATTTGGATTTAAGCTATCGTTTGTTTAGGGCTTTTTTCACCGCAGCCATGCATACGAAACGCCTCGTCAAATATTTTGTTCGATTTGACTTCTATTTTTACTAAGTTTAGACACGTCAACATTGTTTAACTTAAATCAGCTCTAAAAAAAAAGATGTTTTCTATTAAATGTTTAGGATTTAACTGTATTATATGTACATTGGACAAAAACAATTTTAATAAACTTATAATGTTAAAGTTAAATTCTTATTTTATTTTACTCTCACAAAACGGATATTGTCACTACTTTCTGAGAGGTAGTTAAATCGATTTTTAAGAGGACTCCACCACCACCGATTTCTTAAGTAGTGCTCTGCGCCTAAAGGTAATTTTTCGCTTGACCTATAACGTATACTTTTTAAAACAGTAATGAGAGGATTCTTTATTGGTTGTTATTTTTTTTTTGTCAGAATATCGCAATCATTTCTACAGGAAAAATTACAATAATTTTTTTTTTCAAAACTGTTTTGCGTGAGACTTATGAGTATTCACGGTAGATTTACTAAATGTTTACAATACATAGGAAAGACTGTGTCGTATCGTTTTTATTTATTTTTTTGATATCAATATTCACTAATTATTAATAAACAAACGAAGAAACGAATTAATATTTACCAAAGAATAATTTGGATTGTGATAGTGTTGTAAAAAATAATAAATAAAAACGATACGACACAGGTAGAGCTCTTTTCTGTGTACAGTAAAAATATTGTCATTTTTTCACGTTACATCCGGAAAAACCGTATCCCTTACAAAAGAGTTTTATCATAAAAATACAGACGGTGTAGCGTCCTCTTAATACTTTTTTTTTACAAATAAGATTAAAAATGGTTTTTTTATAAAAGCTCTTTTAGTAAATATGTCAGAAAAACCAACTCAATCTGATGATTTTTCGCAAAGTTACACCAAGGTTAAGGTTAAATTGGAAAAGTGTGTATTTTTTTCTGATTTACAGAAGAGAGTAGTGAATCAACGTTTGGCTCCATAGTTACATATATAGTTTGAATTTCTCTTTGGAACTTGAACCAACATTTTGATTTTGAGTGTCCAAAGATTTAGAAGGATACAAAGGTAAAGTCCACCGAAATTTGCAACTTTTCCAATATTATACATTTACAATATTACTATCTGTCGACAAAGAGCATTCCGAAGATAAAAGAAAAAAATAGTCTTTTCATTATAGTAATACCTACGCATATCGCGTGTTTTGCTCTTGTCGACTTAGTTGTATTATTCTGTTTTTGATGTGACATAAAATATTAAAAACTCGCGGTACGGAAGTTGTTGTTTTTTTTTTATGTAACGTCAATTATTATTATTACTTGTTTGCTGAAAAACTTTCTTGTTGTGCCAACGCAAACTTTGAACCGGAAATTCGCATTTGTTATTAGCAACGCAAATTGAACACGTTTGGTTGTGTTATTTTTTTATTCTCTATTCATCTGAGAACTATATGTACATTTCACATATATATATATATATATGTAGGAAAACTAAAGAAAAAATACAATAGAATACGCATGTATATACGAGAATAATGTCGTCCTATTTGTGAGAAAAAAAAACTGTTCGTTCGCAACTGTATGTAGTTTAGATGTGAATAATTTCCGTTGTAATTTATTAGCATAACACATAATAGAGAGAATGGTACGTTTGGCTTCTAACAAATTGGACGGTTGAAAATTATCTAAAATGTGAAACACAGGTTCGTAAAACACATTCATTTAGAGGAAAACATACAAATAACAATTGAATATAATCACCGAGAATTATTATGTATGCACCATGTATTATCATAACTTTTAGTACTGTCAAATGGCAAAAACTTTACATACCTATTTTATGAAATAGTAATTAGTTCAATGCATGCGTTTGTGGGATTCAAGGGGTAAGTAGTATACCGGGTTTGATTTTTAATCAGAAACCTAATTAATAATATAGTTAAGAGCTTTATATTTATTAATCGCGTCAGCTAATGAAAAAATGTTTTGTTAAAAATTTGATATCATATGGTTAATTGAACTATTATTTTTTTCATTGGAAAAAAAGGGTTTTCATGAAAAAAATCAGTTAACGCTTATGCCACAAAAAAAATTGAAGGTATTAAACTACAGAGTGGACAATTTCGGTTATTGGTTTAAAGGCGGTAGCTTTAAATTTGAAATTAATTTACAAAAGTTCAGTTGGTACTGTGAAAACTAAAGCTACCTCTTTTTCTCGAAATTATAAACATTAAAAGTTCAAACTTTAAAACTCGTATGGTTTTTTTTTGTTTTTTTTTCAAATTTTAACTGTGAAGAAGTAAACTTTTTCAACTTCCCCCCTCCCCCCACCAAAGTACCAATTAGATGAAATTTGTGATTCATAGAGTTGCCACTCGAAGGAATTGATCCAGTATTTAAAAAAAGGTTACAGTGTATACAGACACAAAAAAAGCCCACATCATTGTAAAACCTCTCTGCTCCACATCGAAGGTAAAAGATAAATATTTAGTATTTTTATAATATTATAATACATCATAAATAAGATGTTTTTAAGAAAGGAAATTTACAAAAGTTAAATTGTATTAAGAAAAAACGAGCGTGTTATCTTTAATGCATCAACCTGTATTTACATAGTAAAGTTGAGCTAATATTTTATTTATTTATTTATTATATGTTGTTTGTTATTTTTATTAAAAAGTATATTATATTTGACTTTTTTTTATTTACGTACCGCGGAAGTAAGTTTATGAAGAATGACCGATTTATTTTGTCAATATTGTTGTCGCAAAAAGAAAAAAAAAAGGTCAGTACACCGAATCGGTTGTTCAACAGACTTCGGAC